TGGCAATAAAGGACTTGTGAGCTACATCGGAACGCGGATTAAACAATTCATTCATAGTGCTGATGGAAGCGAGGTGCATTATCCTCTGATCATTACAGCAACAGGCCTCACCCGAAATGTCCACGAATTCACCCATATTCCGCCGTTTTGTTTCGTGACATCTCCTGGGACCCGTCTCATTGTGCACCCATACAATGAAACGACACATCTTCTAATGAACAGGTATGCTGTACTATTTGCAGCTTTCTTTCCATTATATGCATCTTCTTCTATCATTTAGCTAATTGAACACAACAAACCTTTTAGGTTCTTTCATAACAGATTGCCAGTGGACATCATTGACTACAGCTCGAAGGAGCGCCTTGGATACCTTCGGCGCAAGATTCCTCCCAGAATTTCATTGCTGGAATTGAAGACCAAAGTTCCATTAGGAGAAATGGAAACTGAGGTGACTTTCCTTACCTTCTTTGTGCACCTGTAGATTGTTAATCAAGTATATATTACAATTATCAAGCATCCTCAGGTGCCCTTCCAACAAAATAAATGTTATTAGTTACTCACACAAACTGGACTTGACATTTTTCCTAATTCAATCCATATGACAGATACTCTATCGATGCAAATTGAAGATACTTAAGTTCCATCTTGGTTCTGAGACCTGCAAAACTTTTCCTGAAGACACTGAGTATTTCCAAACTACGACTACTGTTCTTTTCCTTATTGTTAAGTAACAATTCATTGCTACCACATCTCTAATCTACGTATACGTTTAGATTGTACTACGAATTGCAGGCTGAATGCGAATCAGGAAATCACACTGCAACAATTGTTCTGAATCATCAACCTGCTCTTGCTCTAATCCGTATGCCACCGCTCGAGTTCCAGATGATGCCATATGACGAGAGAGTTGAGTTGCTCAAAACATTCTGCAATGTTCAGCTAATGGCAGAACTGTACATCGTGGGATCAGAAGATTCAGATGAACCACACATCCGCATGTTTGCGATTTGGGATTCAAAAGCATTTCGCCCATTGCTAGAACTTAAGTTGCGCATCTGACCAAAGCCCTTACATTGCAGTCAAAGAAGGTACATTCCTTCCTACTTTTGTTTTGCATTCAGTGGAACATTGGTGTTTTTGGGCACAACCATTTTTTGCGCACTAATAATACCCACATGTCTGTTCTTATTGCAGCTCTTGGAACTAAGGAGTTAAATGGGTTGTTGCCTGAGGAAGGATCAAAGTAACGCAGGGCCAGAAGACATAGATTGCAACATTATTAGTTAATTAGATCTTTTGAGAATTGGAATAGTCCATCTTTATTTCCATTCTGGACAGAAACTGTTCTGGTACGTTGTGTATGGTAGCTATCCTTTAAGCTCAACCATCCAAATAGTTTAGATCTAAACAATGTACTTTGCAATGAATGCTCGTATTTTATTCGTCTTAGCTATGCCCTTTCTGCAGTTCCTTTCTTTTAAATGTGTTGGATTGTTCTGTCTTCACTTTTGTGTCGTTACTGTTCTGGTATATTAGATCTCAAAATTACTACAAATACCACTGTTGCCTCAGTTGAAAAGTAATAGATTCCCTTCACACCACTTGTCTTTTAGTCTTTTCTTCTACGACCATTGTTTATTGTATTTTGGATCATTTTGGGCCGCAGAGACACTGAACAGTTCGAGAGAAATTTTCTATGTTTTGTTGTTTTATTCAACGTTTAGGAAGATCCCTGCTCTTATCTCACCTTTCACCCTCTCTCATCAACTTTACTCTTCTTCCGTTATTTCCTCACAAACATCCTAAATCAGCATACTGTGCCTGTTCCGCCTTCCTTCTGGTGTCATCCGGTTCGCTCTTCGTCCCCAAAATCCCTCACAAAAGAGGCATGTTTCCGCTAAAGCTGCTTCTGGATTTGAATGGAACTGAAGGGGTAGAAACTGCTCTCAAGATACGACTCTTGCATGTTTGGGGTTATTGCAATACAGAAAATTCATCCATCCTCTCACAAATTTGCAGTCTTTGGACCGATTCCAAGGTAATATAGCATTTCCTTTAACGTTTTTTGTTCCACTTGCCAGCTCAAATTGTGCTCCTCGGTCATTTCTCTTGCTTCGCCTCCTCCCTGTTTAACAGGGAACCTTGATCCAGGCCATCGCGACACCAGATTTAGGTCACCGATTTGGCGCACACTTGCAACTAGGGTGTGTCTACTTAGTTACTGGATACCAGCTGGCAAAATCACAGCCAATGTGGCGCCCTTGCTCCCATAGATTTAGTTTGGTTCTTTCTCAGGGAACCATATTTGAGGATGTGACCATGTTGTCACCGGGTTTCTGTGCTGATTCATTTGAGTTTTTCCACTTCAGTTCCTTGCGCGGCTTGACTCGCTCAACAAACCAGCTCATAGGTTCACCTGGAAATTACTGTAATATCATCACATATAGTTCACCTGATGTTTGCACTACTGAATTGACGATTTTTAAAACATCTTCACATGTAGATGTTGTTGGCAGAGTTGTGTCTGTGAGCGGGTTATCCTGTTCAGCAACATCCACTGGTGCTGTTATTAGGCGGAAACTGGTCATGCAGAACGAAAGGTCTTCAGTGCAATGCGGTTGTGTACCTTTCCATTTGTAGTTGATTTAACTGAATTCCAATCATCTCCCTCTTGCCTGCACTTTACTATTGCAGAAATATACGTGTTAACATCACCATATGTGGCGATGTTGCTCGATCACTAGATGGAGAAGAACTAGCATACCTTGGCCGCATGGGCTCTGTTATACTTGGTGTATGCAGTCTTCAAGTTACTAACGCCACAGCAGGTTTACAGTGCATCTTTCTACCTCACAGTTAATGCTATTGCTATTCCATTCTACGACGCCTCACATCTGCTTTCCTACTTTTACCAAAGGCGGCATTTTTTTAACCAGCACCTCCGCCACACGGTTTGTTTTGGAGCCATCCTCTGATTTGGCAACTGTTTTGCGTGCTACGTAAGTCTCTTACAAGCTGCCGTTTTTAGTAATTTACTTTCCGTTTATCTCATCTACTTTCGAATTTGTAGGTCTACTGGTGGTACAGATACGATCCGATATTATCCTCCATACTTTTCCACTTCTTTTGCAGAGGAAATGTTTCGAACTGACAGTACCAAGACAATTATGGACCTCATCCGCCTTTCCAGGAATCCAATGGTTGACGTGCGTTCTTTTGACATAACTTTTACTGTGACAGCACTGTGTTGTATTACTACATGCCAGGTTAAAGCATAATCTGCACTATTAATGTAGCCAGCCATTATTTTCATGTTTCAGAATGTATTCTGCCTCACCACTAGATGGATCTGTTTTTCCAGTCCCTTTCCCCAGTAAACTAACAAATTTCTTGCCTGCTTAGCTAACTTTTCTCACCAGTTTTGTTTACCTACAGGCTACCCAATACTATTGTTTGGCGCAAGTCCTCTCCACTGAGGCTTCAAGATCATGGTTCTACTTAGGATGTGCCTTTTGCTTTAAGACAGCTAGGGAATTTCCTGGCACTGGTGATTTTTTTTGTGAAGAACATGGCCAACTAAAGGCTGAAGCTACCGAAAATTGGTTAGTTTTAAATCCACCTTTTCCCCAGCAGTCAAGTGGGCACGCCCAATTCAACCCTGAAATGTTAATACATTTTTACAGCTACAAAATTCATTTGGCTGTCGGAGACACTACTGGCTCGGCGTGCTTCGTCGCACTTGGAAAGACCGCTGAATCTTTGCTTGGAGTTACAGCAACCGAACTATTGCTGCAGCACCCCCACCACCATGGCCATTTCCCTCCGAAAATTGTGGCCATGAATGGATGTTGGTTTTCGTTTTGTGTCCAACTCCCTAAACCTGGAAATCTGGCTCAGACTCCTCTGGAGTTTACTATACTTTCTGCATTCGACCGCAGCCAGCTTTAACAATAAACTAATGGAAAAGTCAACACTTGCGCAGAAAGTCGTTGTGCTCGACCGTTGTCTTACCTATATTATCCAGTATTTAGCAACACCTGCACTTCAACATCAACAGACTTATGCATCCGAGATGTACGTAGAAACTATTCATATGCACACTTACTCCGATTTTCCGCTATCAACTCTCTAATCTCATAATATAATCTCCCCGCCGCAGAGCGCGGGCTTCCTTACTAGTATAAATAATATACATAAGCAGAGTTTGGCATCAAGCAATTAGCAAGCATTCAATCAGTGTTGTAATTCAAAAAAGATACAGAGAGAGTGATTGTATTTACCAAAAGATGACTTCTTCTTCTGGAAGTTGGTGGGTATTTACGGTTGTAGTAGTCGTATCACTTCTTCAACAGTTGTGCTTCCTTAATACTACAACTACTACAGCGGCCGCCTCCAGAATCATTCTGAGCAATGAGACGGATCGCATGGCGTTGCTGGAGTTCAAGCTCATGATTACTGGCGACCCTTTGGGGGTTCTGAGCTCGTGGAACGATTCCACTCACTTCTGTTATTGGTATGGCGTGTCCTGTTCCAGAAGACACGTTGGGAGAGTCCAGGTCCTAGATCTCCGTTCTGAGAAACTCTCGGGGTCCATCTCCCCACATATTGGCAATCTCAGCTTCCTGGCGAAGTTGGTTCTTCATAACAACAGCCTGAGCGGTGGAATTCCTTCTGAAATCGGCCGCCTCCGTAGATTGCATGAGCTCAGACTCTCCTTCAACTCGCTCGAGGGTGAGATCCCATCTAACATCTCTGAATGCTCTGCCCTTACTATATTCAATGTGTCGGTAAACAAATTGGTGGGACAGCTACCATGGCAGCTTGGATCCTTGAGCAAACTCCAAAATTTTTTTGGAGAAAACAACAATCTAACAGGAAGCATCCCCCACTCTTTTGGCAATTTGTCATCTCTAGTGGAATTCGGCGCAGCAGAGAACCATTTGAGTGGGAGAATTCCTGATTCTCTTGGCTAATTGAAGAGTGTTCTAAGCTTGGGTCTCATGTACAACAACTTACATGGTGAGATCCCTACTTCCATTTTCAATCTCTCCACCCTTTTATCTCTATCCTTTGGATTCAACAAGCTCCACGGCAATCTTCCTAGAAACTTGGGAATATCACTTCCAAATCTTCAATGGTTAGATGTGGTTGACAACCAATTTAGTGGCAGTGTTCCAGCTTCCTTATCCAATGCCTCCAATTTGGTTCTACTTCAACTGGACACCAATAATTTTACCGGTAGCATGCCTAATATGGGAAGCTCTCACAAACTTGAGTACTTTCGCATCTACAAAAACTCTCTTGGAAGTGGAAAAGCTAACGATTTGAGTTTCCTCTCCTCTTTGACTAATGCTAGTAGCTTGAAAAGCTTGATCATCCATACGAATCACTTCGGAGGCAATTTACCGGAACAAATTGGCAACTTGTCAAAAAGTTTGGAGATCTTGAGCGCTGGTGATAATGCATTGGAAGGAAGCATTCCAAGTGGGATACAAAATCTCGTAAACCTGCAATGGTTGGAAGTAGCAGACAACAATCTCACAGGTACCATCCCATCCGTCATCGGGAACATGCAAGCTCTGCGACAGTTGGATGTGAGTGGAAATAGAATTTCAGGATGTATTCCACCAACGTTTGGTAACCTGACCGAGTTGATTTACTTGTTATTATCTGATAACAGTCTATGGGGAGAAATTCCTCTTGTTTTGGAGAATTGCCAGAATTTGCTATATGTGGAGCTCGCATACAACAACCTCAGTGGTGTGATTCCCCCACAACTTGTAATGAGTTCTTCCTCGTTAATATACTTAGACTTGTCTGATAATCATCTTAGTGGCGCCCTTCCGGCTGAAGTAGGTGGGCTTTTAAATTTGGAGGAATTGGATCTGTCTCATAACATGTTGTCAGGTAAAATACCAACTTCTCTTGGTAGCTGCGCAATATTGGACTCATTGTACTTGCAAGACAATCTTCTCCAAGAAATTATTCCTTCTTCTCTTGGTTCATTGAGAGGTATTCAAGTACTGGACATCTCCAGTAATAGCTTATCTGGTCAAATTCCAAAGTCGTTTGAAGGGATGAAGCTTTTGCAACTTCTGAATTTTTCTTTCAACAATCTCGAGGGGGAAGTGCCATCCAATGGAGTCTTTAGGAATGGCAGCATCATTTCAGTCGCCGGAAATGACAAGCTCTGTGGTGGCATGGCTGAACTTAACCTTCCACCTTGTAGCTTCAAACAAAAAAAGAAGACAATATTGAGCCATAAGCCGATCAAGATTGTCTTATTAGCAGTCATCGGTCTATTGTTTTTGGCATTCATGTCTTCTTGCTTGCTTATCTTTTGGTACAAGAAGAGAGGGAAACGAGATACACTTCCCGTTGATGATTCACAACTGCTATTGTCCTACCACGACCTCCATAAAGCTACAGATGGTTTCTCCGCGACAAATCTTATTGGTGTGGGTAGCTTTGGTTCCGTGTACAAAGGATTCATCGAAGCAAATGGGATTGGCAGCACTATCGCTGTGAAGGTGTTCAACCTTCAGCGCAGCGGAGCTTCCAGGAGTTTTATGGCAGAATGTGCGGCTTTGAAGAACATCAGGCACCGAAATCTTTTGAGGATACTCACAGTGTGTTCAGGCGTTGATTATCAAATGAACGACTTCAAGGCTCTCATCTACGAGTTCTTGGCCAATGGTAGTCTGGAAGAATGGTTGCATCCAGTGGGAACCAGTACAGATGAGCCTCCAAGAATCTTGAGTTTCCTCCAGAGGTTCAACGCCGCTATAGATGTTGCTACTGCAATGGATTATCTTCACCATCAATCTGGAACGCCTATTGTTCATTGCGACCTGAAACCGAACAATGTGCTTCTTGACATGGACATGGTAGCCCATGTTGGTGATTTTGGGTTGGCAAGATTCCTTCAATCGGTTGTCGATCCCTCTCCACCAGGCCGTGCATCAAGCTCTATTGGTGTAAAGGGAACAGTTGGCTATGCTCCTCCTGGTAATAGTTCTATCTTGAAAATATACAAGTTGCATTTCAATAGTGTGTTTCTAATCAAATCATTTTATATTCTTGGTAAATATTGATGATGTATAAGAGCAATATATATGGTCTCATTCTCAAACCTAACAACTCATGTAGTATGGATTCATCATATTTTTATATGCAGAATATGGTATGGGAAATAAAGTCTCAATACAAGGTGATGTCTACAGCTATGGAATCCTCCTGTTTGAGATTTTTACTGGAAAAAGACCGGCAGATGAGATTTTCAAGAATGACCTGAGCCTACGTAATTTTGTTGGAAATGCTTTATCAGAAAAGCTAATATCAAAAGTTGTGGATCCTATTCTTCTCAATGAGTTGTCACTTGGCCAAGCAACTCATTCCAATGTTACTAGTAGCAGCAATAGCTCCGAGGAAGCCAACTACAACAAATGCCACATACTAGAGGAGGCTGTGATCTCCATTCTTGAAATAGGCGTTGCTTGTTCTCCAGACTACCCAGAGGAGAGGGTTAGCATGAGTGAAGTTGTTACCAGACTTGTCTCTTCGAAAAGATTGCTTCGTGATAAACTTGCTCGAAGACGAATGGGCGGGAGGTGATGATTAGCTTGCTTTGATCGACAACGCTGATATAGGTGCTTAATCATATAGATGCTTCTTTCTATATTTAAATAATGTATTTGGAGTAATATCAAGAATGTATGAATTCAAAATAAAGTTGAGTGTTTAACTCGGTTAATTCCCAGGATCTTCAGGTTTGTGTGGGTTTCATTTCCTATTCATTCGGCTCGTAGAAGCTGTAAGAAAAGATGGAAATGTTGAACAGAGGATGTAACTTTTCCTTCTACAGTCGGACAGGAATCAATAACTCATGTACAGTCGGAAGAAAAGTGCAAGGGTGGTGGCGGTGGTTTTGCCACAAAATTGCAGGGGTTAATTAGCTTACTAGCTAGTCACTTTTGCATGCATGCACCCACCTTTGTAACGCTCAAGAACTTGAATAATTCAGAGCTAATTACTCTGGCTTGTTCATCTCATGTACTCTAAATCTTACGTACTGCCTGATCATAATAATAATAATAACCGAAAATAATTCATCCAAACATTTTTCAACAACTATATTATCACAAGGACTAATAAGTAATAACATCCAGAAATTATCCATGAAACGTATATAAATTATCCACTCTTTCAACCAAAAAAAAATTACCCATACTCGGGGTTCAATGCAATAAATGATGATGTCTTTTTGCTTTCCTAATAGTGGCAAAATATCCGGATGAAAAGGAGGTTGGATTTTTCTGGTCAAACTCTGTTAGCGAACTAACCACTTATACGCCCCCTCAAACGAAAGCCTACCTTTGTCGGGGGTTTTTATACGGTTTGCACAGGTTGAACGTATCATTCCTTGTGCTGCCAAACCCATTAGGCTTTCAGTTTGTACAGGTTGGACATACCATTCCTTGTACTAAACCATTGTTTGCTTAAATTGGGGGTCGTCGTGAGGATTCGAAACCATGACCTTTCGGTTCTAGGCTCTGATACCATATTAGCGAACTAACCACTTGGCCCCAATAACTCGAGTTATTGGGAAAGGGATAGTTAAGCCTTTTAACCTCTTATAAACTCTCACTCAATCCAACCTACTAATTCCCAAAATGGGATGTACGGCGCATCCGACCCAAAGTCAAATCAACATCATGGTTTACCCCAATTTGATCAGGTCGGACTCAGTTAGATACCCACAAATCCGGTGGTTTCCATTTTCTTCAGTCTAGTAAGAGATTAATCAACTGGAAATCAATTAGTTCATCGCCAATTATATTTCGGATGAAACAAATAATAGGGCCGTGCGTTATGGTTCTTTAGTCCGCCAGACTGGACAAGAGATGAGAGTTGAGAGCCCAACAGGTCCATATGAAAATGACGCCAGTGGTAAAATGAATGCTGGCCGCAGGTTTCCAATCGTCTCTTTTCTTTTTCATGCGGTCCAGTTACGTTTTGAAGACTTCCGAGCTCGTTGCCTTGGACCAGTTCACTTCTAAAGAAAGTAAGAAGAAGCATATGGGAAGTCATGATTGTTTCCATGGGAGACGTATTGCTAGTGTTACATTGACAAGAGATAATTAAATTCTATACCACCGTTTTCATGGGAGACTTGCAATTAAGTATTTCATTGACTAGGGATGGCAAAATAACTCATTGTCGTGGATATCATACCGAATTCGAATTGACTCGGTCGAGTAAGTTTTCATACCGAGTCCACCCGAATATGTGTTATGACCATGGTTTAGACTCACTCGCTTCAATATTTCGGTCATCCTTATGACTCGAGTTTGTCTCTCTGTTAGAGTTGTTACCGAAATGTCTGCAATTGAATAAATTGCTCTATGAACGAACTGGTCGGATTGAATTGGAAACTGAAAAGATTTATACAGGTTAGAATTTGAGCTCTTCTACTTCATTTTTTTTATAACTTTTATTCCGTTCATTTATTCCTTTAGTCTCATTGTAAGATCATGTGTTCGATTCCCCGTGACGACCCTTCCACTTCGCCCTCTAATAGACCCTTCCTCTAGACTAAGGTATATTTTCCTTCACTTTTGTAACAATAACTTAACAAAAACTAAAAGTAACATCAACATTACTAAGAAAATTTTCACTTTAAAAACTTTATATATGATTATCTCGGAATAAACGCGGATGAGTTTCTCGTCCTATTAAACTTGGGGGTCACCTGCACAATCAAATTCGACGCCAATAGGGCTTCACCCCAGCAGCCTTGTACCTCCGGGAACACCAACGGACCTCGCTTGGATTCGAACCTAGGATCTGCAACTCTCAAACCTTCACTGTCGCGGCAGCTTTACCGTTAGACTATCTTACCTTTAGTAGAGTGATTACCATTTTAAAATAGTAGTTTAGATATGATATATAAAAAAACCCACCCGAACCCGTTGTTAGTGTGTGGTACATGATTCACGATTGAACCTCTCCCAACAACTCGAGTTATTAGGATCAGTTGGTTTATGACATGATATCAGAGCCTTATGTGACCGAGCGGTCTTGTGTTCGAATCCCGGTAACCCCATTTGTGATGCACATGGTATTCTTGTGTTCAGGCCTGTGCAAATTTCAAGCCCTTGTGAGTGACTTTCGTTTGAGGGAGCGTATTAATGTGTGGTATATGATCCACGATTGAGACTCTCCTAACAAGTCGAGTTATTGGTATCAACTAGTTCATGACACCCGTTACCATCCATAAAATTGACTCGAGATATGTCTTCAAGGGTCCCTTCAAAGTCTCGGGTCTAGTCATTATCGTTCTTGAAAAAATGTAGTTGAAGTTTCTCCGTATTCCGCTAAATATAAAGGGTCCAACTTATTAGTTACGTTGGATCCCACTGGTAGTCGCAGTCTAGAGCTGTAAATATAACCCCTCTGTTTGGTAGGATTTTAGTTGTATTGTTGCGCACAATAAAGTGTATTATAAAAATATATAATTTGATTTCTGTGTTCGTGTTTTAAGGGAAGTCATTTTTTTTTTGTTTTGGAAATATGATGTTTACCCTATCTTTTCAATTTAGAAATTGAAAACCACTTTCCAACAAATAAAACTAGAAGGAAACGGAAAAACTATCCGAACTAAAAATCGTCTATTGGTATAGTACGATCATTCATTTTGTATTGAATAATTTGATGATCAGTTACATCAATAAAAGAAATCTATTAACTTCAACATGTGACTAAAAAAATCAAAAAATTTATTACTTTTAATTATTGTATTACTTCGGGGTTTTCTTGTAGTACTGTTTGCACAGGTTGAACCTGTCATTTCTTGTGTTGCCAAACCATTAGGCTTTCAGTTTGTACAGGTTGGACATATCATTCATTGTACTAAACCATTATTTGTTTAAATTGGCGGTCGTCATGAGGATTCGAAACCATAACCTTTCGGTTGTAGGCTCTGATACCATGTTGGCGAACTAACCACTTGGTTCCAATAATTCGAGTTATTAGGAAATGGATAGTTAAGCCTTTTAACTCTACAGATGTGGTTACATAGCAATAAATCAAGTACTTCACCAAAGATAACCACTGTTGGATTTGCCGCAGCTGAAGATGGAATAACGAAGTTGCTGCTGAGAATTAAAGCCTTTCCTGCAAATGGAAGCTGATGCTACAAAATTGAAGTTTGTCGCTGCAAATTGAAGCTGCTGCTAAAAATTGAAACGCTTGGTAGGTTTCAGTTCAGATCGAGGAGGATTTTTTTGGTCAAGAGATCACGTGTCAATCTACATGGTTTTAAGTTGTTGAGTTTTTTCTTAGAGCTAGTACTTTATCGTTTGATATTGGCTGGAACTTGGGGTTCAAATAATATTGCAGTTGTATTGACGACTTGGACGTGAATACTCTTAAATTCTTTTCGGTCCAATAAACGGAACCGGTCAGTTTTGCCTATTTGATCTTTCGACACACGCATGTGGGAAACTTTGTCTGAAAACGCACGACTTCGTCAACGGTTACATGCATGATGGGAGCTGTTCGCACAACGTACGTACGCCTTTGGACCACTGGTTTTATTCCACGAGCCTTGACATGAATACTGGCCGCAGGTTTCCAATCCGATCTCCACCATTTAATTGTTATCAAATTAAGAAGAATGATGTATTATTATTATATAAATTAGCAGCAAGGCAAGCTCACTCATATACATATCTTGTCTGCCTCTTGTTGTTAGGTCTCAAATAAAAGAGTGGTTGTTAGTTATCAAAGAACGATGAGTTCTTCTTCACCAACTTGGTGGCTATTTGCAGCTGCAGCTGTAGTAGTACTACTTCTTCAGCAGTCTTGCTTCCTTCCTCCTACTACAGCGGCGGCCTCCAGAATCATTCTGAGCAATGAGACGGATCGCATGGCGTTGTTGGAGTTCAAGTTCATGATTACTGGCGACCCTTTGGGGGTTCTGAGCTCGTGGAACGATTCCGCTCACTTCTGTTATTGGTATGGCGTGTCCTGTTCCAGAAGACACGTTGGGAGAATCAAGACCCTAGATCTCAGTTCTGAAAAACTCTCGGGATCCATCTCCCCACATATTGGCAATCTCAGCTTCCTGAGAAACTTGGTTCTTCTCAACAACAGTCTGAGCGGAGGGATTCCTTCTGAAATCGGCCGCCTCCGCAGATTGCAAGAGCTCAGACTCTCCGAAAACTCGCTCGAGGGTGAGATCCCATCTAACATCTCAGGATGCTCTGCCCTTACTATATTCACTGTGTCACGAAACAAATTGGTGGGGCAGCTACCATGGCAGCTTGGATCCTTGAGCAAACTCCAATATTTTGCTGGAGTATACAACAATCTAACAGGAAGCATCCCTCACTCTTTTGGCAATATGTCATCTCTAATGAGATTCCACGCAGCATACAACCAGTTGAGTGGGAGTATTCCTGATTCGCTTGGCCAATTGAAGAGTGTTCTAAGCTTGGCTCTCATGTACAACAACTTACATGGTGAGATCCCTGCTTCCATTTTCAATCTCTCTGCCCTTTTAACTCTATCCTTTGGATTCAACCAGCTCCACGGCAATCTTCCTAGAAACTTGGGAATATCACTTCCAAATCTTCAAATGTTAGATGTGGCTCACAACCAATTTAGTGGCAGTATTCCAGCTTCCTTATCCAATGCCTCCAATTTGGTTCTACTTCAACTGAATACCAATAATTTCACCGGTAGCATGCCTAGTATGAGAAGCTCTAACAGACTTGAGCACTTATACATCTACAAAAACTCTCTTGGAAGTGGAGAAGCTAACGATTTGAGTTTCCTCTCCTCTTTGACTAATGCTAGTAGCTTGAAAGATGTCGCTATCCATACGAATCACTTTGGAGGCAGTTTACCAGAACAAATTGGCAACTTGTCAAAAAATTTGGAGATGTTGAGCATTGGTGGTAATGCTTTGGAAGGAAGCATTCCAAGTGGGATACAAAATCTTGTCAACCTGCAAATGTTGGATGCAACATACAACAATCTTACAGGTACCATCCTGTCCGTCATCGGGAACATGCAAACTCTACAACTATTGGATTTGAGTGGAAATAGAATTTCAGGATCTATTCCACCAACGTTTGGTAACCTGACCGAGTTGATTTATTTATCTCTATCTGATAACAATCTATGGGGTGAAATTCCAGTCGTGTTTGAGAATTGCCGAAATTTGGTATCCATAGAGCTCGCGTACAACAACCTCAGTGGTGTGATTCCCCCACAGATCTTCAGGATTTCTTCCTCGTTAAACTACTTTAACTTGTCCCATAATAATCTAAGTGGCACCCTTCCGGCTGAAGTAGGAAGATTGATAAATCTGGAGGTTTTGGATTTGTCTCATAACATGTTGTCAGGTGGAATACCAACTTCTCTTGGTAGTTGTGTAGTATTGGGGGCACTGTACTTGCAAGACAATCTTTTGCAAGGAATCATTCCTCCTTCTCTTGGTTCATTGAGAGGTATTCAAGTACTGGACATCTCTGGCAACAACTTATCTGGTCAAATTCCAAAATCTTTTGAAGGAATGAAGCTATTGCAAATTTTTAATCTATCTTACAACAATCTCGAGGGTGAAGTGCCATCAAGTGGAGTCTTTAGGAATGGCAGCATCATTTCAGTCGTCGGAAATGGCAAGCTCTGTGGTGGCATGGCTGAACTTAACCTTCCACCTTGCAACTTCATACAGAAAAAGAAGACATTCTGGAGGCATAAGTCGATAAAAATTGTCATATTGGCAGTCACGGGTCTATTGTGTTTGGCAGTCATGGGTTCTTGCATGCTTATCTTTTGGTTTAGGAGGAGAGGGAAACAAGCTACACTTTCCGTTGATGATTCACAACTGCTATTGTCCTACCACGACCTCCATAAAGCTACAGATGGTTTCTCCGCGACAAATCTTATTGGTGCGGGAAGCTTTGGTTCCGTGTACAAAGGATTCATCGAAGCAAATGGGATTGGAAACACTGTCGCTGTGAAAGTGTTCAACCTTCAGCGCAACGGAGCTTCCAGGAGTTTTATGGCAGAATGTGCAGCCTTGAAGAACATCAGGCACCGAAATCTTTTGAGGATACTCACAGTGTGTTCAGGCGTTGATTATCAAATGAACGACTTCAAGGCTCTCATCTACGAGTTCTTGGCCAATGGTAGTCTGGAAGAATGGTTGCATCCAGTGGGAACCAGTACAGATGAGCCTCCAAGAACCTTGAGTTTCCTCCAGAGGTTCAACGCCGCTATAGATGTTGCCACTGCAATGGATTATCTTCACCATCAATCTGGAACGCCTATTGTTCATTGCGACCTGAAGCCGAACAATGTGCTTCTTGACATGGACATGGTAGCCCATGTTGGTGATTTTGGGTTGGCAAGATTCCTTCAATCGGTTGCTGAACCCTCTCCACTAGGCCATGCATCAAGCTCCATTGGCGTAAAGGGAACGGTTGGCTATGCTCCTCCTGGTAAGAGCTCTATCTTGAAAATATACAAGTTGCATCATTAGAAAGTTTCAATAGTGTGTTTCTAATCACATCATTTTATATTCTTGGTAAATATTGATGATGTATAAGAGCAATATATATGGTCTCATTCTCAAACCTAACAACTCATGTAGTAAGGATTCATCATATTTTTATATGCAGAATATGGTATGGGAAATAAAGTCTCAATACAAGGTGATGTCTACAGCTACGGAGTCCTCTTGCTTGAGATTTTCACTGGAAGGAGACCGACCGATGAGATTTTCAAGAACGGTCTGAGCCAACATGGTTTTGTTGGAAATGCTCTATCAGAAAAGCTAATAGCAAAAGTTGTGGATCCTATTCTTTTCAATGAGTTGTCACTTGGCCCAGCAACCCATTCCTACGTCAATAGTAGCAGTAACAACTCAGAGGAAGCCAACTACAACAAAAGCCACATACTAGAGGAGGCTCTCATCTCCATTCTCGAAATAGGCGTTGCTTGTTCTCCGGACTCCCCGGATGAGAGGATTAGCATGAGTGAGGTTGTAACTAGACTTGTCTCTTTGAAAAGGTTGCTTCGTGATAAACTTGCTCGAAGACGAATGGGCGGGAGGTGATGATTAGCTTGCTTTGATCGACAATGTTTATATAGGTGCTTCTTCATATGGATGCTTCTTTCTGGATTTAAAGAATGTATTTTGAGTCATATCAAGATTGTATGAATTCAAAATAAAGTTGAGTGTTTAACTCGTTTAACTGTTAGCGTACAACGACAACATATCGAGCTACGTGCATCTAGTTTAAAAATAGTGAGATATTTGCCCATTCTTGCTCTAACTTGCGATTTTGTGTACTATGTTAAAACATGCTACAAGAGATATTGACGTGGAAATGTACGTGCAATGGATGTGCAGTCGCAATACATAAAAGGGGACCTCATCGTCAATGGCGGGTCTTCGGCCATGGAACTAGAAGATGGACCTCTTGTTGAAGGGAAGATTTACCACGTTTATTCTAGCTAAAGCTTTGGCTTTTGTATGTGTCTTTTTGGGCTAGGAGTTCCGGTTTGGTGGTGCCAATTTAGCCGCATGATATGTCACTTCCAAAAACTATCATTCACGTACAGAAATGCCGACCATTTGCATGTGTCGGCAGTGTCCATATTGTAACATTATGTCTCTTTCGTACTCCCCAAAAATTACGTTCATAGATTAGCATTACCCATGTTCCAATGCCTATGACAACCATGTGTAAAACAAAGAAATTAACCGTGACGTTATAGATGATGGCTTCATGCCTCGTCCTCCAAATGGATTTGACCCTAATGAGAGGTTATGGAGTATATGATTTTTGACTTCATAGTATGTAATTTTTTTCATCCAAATCGTAAAAATTTGTGAAAGAGGTTGCGTCTTATGAAGATTATTGAACAATCAAGTCAAGCAATAGACTCGACATGAATGAATTGTTGAAAGAAAGTTAACAAATTTTGTTGAGACGCGTTGTTCTTCCAACTGTGTTTGGAGGAGATGACTTGGATAGGTTACGGATTGACCTAAGAGAAGGAATGGAACCTTGTGTGTGTATATATGTTGAAGCAAGTTTCTAGAAGTTGGAAACTTGGGTTTGATGATGGTCATTAAGGAATTTGAGAATTTGGCTTTATAGATAACAAAGATGAGCCTTATATTTACACGAAAGTTAGTGGGAGCAACCGAGACAAAATTTACCTTTCTAAATTTGTATGCACATATATATTCTTTCATACGTGCTTATTTACTACACAATATAGATTTATTTGTCAAAGTGAAAGCAAGTTCCAGTCACAATGATGTATTTCTTCTCGATCATGAGCAAGTGATTCATATCACTTTGCTTAACCGATACCCATCAAAATTTATATATTCTTCCACGATAGCGACTTGAAATTTTGACCAGAGGTATCTAGCTAGCTTCAAAGTCTATACCCTACACCTACAATTTCACTTAATATTATGTTCCCATAACTCTTAGTTAGATACTTATTCTCTTATACATCCCTCTCAAGAGCAATACACGTTATGTTTGGTTGTCAATTAGACTTTTCCCATGATTTCCCCCAAGCATTTATTTCACAATAAGGTGTGGGTTCTAGAATGAGATGTGGTTAGATTTGCTCCTCTTGTAGATCTTGGCTGTTGTGATTTCCCCCCCAAGCATTTATTTATTGAGGAAGAGCGTTGCAAGTAATAATTTTAGCTTGATGATGCATGTACGTCCTTTGTACTTTACTTCCCCCTTACACTCTCCCGTGGTGGGTTTGGGTTTTGATGTTGCTAGCTAGCTACTTTGATATGAGAAATTAAAGTTCACTGATCATATTTCTCGTGTTGCTTGCTCATCATATAGTTTTATAGTCAAAGGTTGTTTTTTCCACTATTAAGGAATCTTCAAAGATTTATTACGGGACCCTTATTTGATAATTCGAGTTACCAGAATGTGGGTTTACCTAAGAGATTTCGAGTCTTGATTTGGATCATTTGAATAGTTTATTTTCAAGGTGTAGATGAGAACAATTGACATGTGAAATTGAATTGGTAGTTTTTTCGTATTTGCACGCGCTCAAGTCATTTATGATATAAAATCGAAAGTAGAGGGTCGGAAAGATTACCACAGCTAGAGGGATAGTGTTTGTGGATGAGGTTTTCTCTTTGTTTAGAGATTTAAAGGTTTTTATACTCAACAAGATACTGAATGCTCGTTTTGAGCTCCGATTGAATTTCAGAAGCTCCTCTTAACAAATGTCGACTATTAATTTAATTCTTTTTTAACTTGAATTCATTAATCCCGATAATTATGCATATTTTTTATACGATCTATTAGAAGGGGGGAAACAAATAGAGACATTAGTCTCAACAAGCTAAGTGAACAAACTTATCTCCTAAATCAGTCACCCTACCTCTACTATCTGCATATACAAACATAATTAATTAGATCACAAAATAATTAGTCATAATCTCTAATGAATTACTTACACGCCCCACTAACATACACAACTTGCCTTTATATTTATGATTCACCAGCAACATAATTATGCCTAATTACCCAAAGGCCAAAAGCATCTTGCCTGCTCGTTCTCTTCACATATAATCACATTAAGTTTGACGCTAATATGTTAATCATATAATAATAATATGTTCATAATTATGGTTTGAGGAAAGAAAAGGATCACGAATCCTTTAAGCTAAGCGACGTACCAAACCACGCACGAACAATAACACTCAAAATCAATGGTTGGAGAAAGAAAAAAAAAAAAAGATAAATAAAAGCAATTGAAGGTCTGAGATCAAATTGAGTGCAGGGTGCCTTGCTTGGGAAGTAACTCAAATTGATCATAACCAAAAGGAGAAACAGAAGTAGAGATAGCATGATTACCCTTCATGATGAAGTTCCTGTTCTTTTCCTGAGTGAGGCAGCATTTAGTTTTTTTCATAATGGAGAAAAAGGGTAATTAACTTGAGTAGGGAATAGTTGGGCATACTCTTAAACGCGAAATTGTTACTGTTTTAGTCGGATCATCTAAATTGTTGAGTAGGTCATGCATAATGCATGGGACCTACACCGTCAATAATTAGATTGGAGGAAATAATCAAACAATCCCTTTCTTTCCTCCTTGTTGGAAAAATGAGCATTTGAGAGGGCGTTTAAGTGTTTGTCTGTCGAGGTTTACTGATTAAGCGGTTGTGCTTGACAATGCCCTAAGAAGATGAAATTAGTGCGTAAGAAAATTATGCAGAGAGGATATCAAGTTATCGTAAATTGAAAGGACTCTATGCTCCAAACGCATATGCGAGTCACGAAAATTAAAAAAAAAAAACCTTGGTGCTATAGCATATCTCATGATGTAGGAAGAGCTCATACATGATTGATGGCTTGAACAAAACATTCAATCACATCTCACTGATATTGAATTTAGTGTTATCTGGTGGACACGAACCAAACCGTTTGCTAGGGAGCTTGTTAGACTTATTCGAACCTTGTGACTTGTGACTTGTGAGTATATCCAATCTAGTCGAATGTATAACTCTTACCTGTATACCTATATTGGTAAAGTTTACATTTTTCATTTCTTATGAGTTTCTTCATTGTACATACAAAGATCATCCTTCAAACTTGCAATTTAGAGATGGAAATGATGAAGCTTGGAACCCAAAGAAATGGACAATAATGTGAGGATAGAAAGACTCAAACTTTACAAGGATACAAAGGAAGAGATCATCTCCATCAAGAGGAAGGAAGGCATAGAGACAACAATATAAGTCACTAAGGCACACAAATGGGGCCTCTCACCGCAATACTCTGTAGTGCTCCAGCCATTTCCCCATTCCCATGCTGTACTATCTGTCTCTTGATTGCCTTGTCTCTGCTGCCCACAACCCTCCAAGAAGTCCAAATACGATGAATTCCCCATTCAATTGTGGCCAAGTCCCAATTGATTGAAAACACAACACAAGTTACAAGAATAAGGTTTCATTCCACCTTAAGGGTTGTGTTGGTCTTAGTAAGTTCATAGCATGTAATATGAAAGGAACAAATTCCTGAGTTTTTTTTCTTTCTTTCTTTGTGACTATCTAGTATCTTCCATCCATTGTGTGAATAATTATATCAGCTAAGCTAATTCCAATCATAGTGTAGCTAAAACTATGCAACTCTTATGTTTGGTTGACAAGGCTATAGTTAGTGGCCAACCCCTATGTACTTGTGTGCGACTATTGTTCTCCTTCCTAAACTGTTATTCAATGTATCGCGGACTGCTAAGATTTTGAGCTATTGGACTCATTAATCGCTCATCCCATTTTGAATTGTCCAAGTTTTGACGACCGAGTCATCTCACCTGTCGTTTTTTGTCTGTTAACTGTAGTTGGAATTCTTGTCTGCTAACTGTAGATGGAATTCTTTTCGTATTTCTTATTTCATTTCCTTTATCTTTATAGCATATACTCATTTCCTTTATAGATCGCACCGCTTGAATGATTTGATCGACTATGTTGGCCAAAATCAAATTTGGATATCTTTCATTCATGGCTCAATTCATATCATTGATCCTATTGCTCTATCTCATAGGATTCACTGGCACTACAATCAACCATTTGGATGAACAAATACAATACCCATTTTGAAAACAGAAACCGACACCACACTCTCCCATCCCAATCTTCTTTCCCAAAACACACCTCCAAGAACAAAAGAGAGCATAAACAAACAAACTTTTAATTCCTTTCACTTCCCCTCTGGTTTATTTGTTCCTCTCTGGCCCTCCTTTCTTCTTCGATATCATTATTATCCATTAATTGTCACCATCTCCAGTTCTCCACCATTTAATCAATTCTTTCTCGGGAATATATTATCATCCACCATTAGTCCATTTCCCCCCTTCTTTCTCTTTCTCTTTCTCTTCTTACTTCATCAATTCAAACAATCAATCCTCCACAATACTCTGCCTCCCTCTCTCTCTCCCCACTCTTTCTCTCTCTTCTAGAGAAAAACCCAACTAGCTCCTCCATTTTTCTGGGGAATACGGCCCGATTTCCCCCTCTTCCCACCTCTCCCCATTAGTACTGCAGTTCCCAACTGAGAACAAAAACCAGAAGAAAGAATGGGAACCCAAGTCCTCTGTTTCCCCCTGTAAAACTCATAATCAGTAAGTCTCTCTCTTTACTCTGCTCCAGTAGGGGAAAAAGAAGCTCTTCCCCAGCAATTACTAGAGATTTCTCCCTTCTCTACCGGAATTCATCTTCTGGGTAAGTTAATTTACCGATAAAGCTCACTACTTTGCTTTCCTGTCCATGGCTCTCTACTCATCCCCTTCCTCTGTTCATGGAGACTGATTAGCTTATGATGATGAATTGATGCGACAATTATGTGATTAATCAATTGTAGTTAATTAGCTGGGTCTGTTTTTGGCCTGTTCTGATTCCTCTGGGTGTGATGTGATTAGTTTATGGGATTTGAATAGTAACCTTGTTTTGTACTGGGTTCCACTTTAATCATAGAAAAACAGGGGAAAGCTCGCTAAAAAGAAGAAGAAGAAGAAATATCCCATGGAGTGACTTCAAAGGATAATCAAAAAAGCTTTGTAACAAGAGACAAACGTCAGCTGACCTCTTGAAAACGTTTGTTTTCCTGTTTTTTGGTTTTATTAGTGACCACTCGTCACTTTTTGTTTTGCTTGTTGCCATTGATGCCTACCCATCGAACGAGTCTCCTTGTTATCCACACGTAATTTTGTTCATTGTACCCACCAAATGATGAAATTGATAATAACTTTATGCCTCTATTGATTCTATCTCGAAATATTTTGAAAGTCGTTGTCAATAAAGATGTTAAATTATCGAATATAACATCAATAGTTTATGTATTCGGACTCGAAACTCTTCGAAAGTTATTATTAACGAGCAAGTTCGATCTTGGTCATTGATCATGTGAGAATATAGTTATGGATTTTTTAAATGGTATCAATTAGAATGATAACTTCCTCCTACCCGAGTCTTTCTTATTATTATCCACATATATGTATGGTCAATTTTGCTATTGATTTCATTCATACGGGAGTTGTTAGTCCTCTAGATGTTATAGATATGCAAAATTATAGTTAGAGTATCGAATTTAAACTCTGAAATTTTTCAAAAGACGTTATTGATGAACAAACTAAATTATCCTTAGAAATATAATGATGTAATACCATAGTTATGAGATTTCCAACTTGATTTTTTTTTTTTGCCAAATGTGTAATTCAATTAGTGAGATGAACAACAAAAATCCTCACTATAAAGTTAAATGGCTAGCTAGCTAATTATGAAGAATAATTAACTAATTTTAACAGATTGAAAACCTAAAGCAACATTGATCATGTGCTATTATTTCCTTAAATCTTCACTAATCTTGCTTTTTATCCTAAATCTCCCCACCAAATACATTCTCTTAATATGGAAACAATTCCAAAATTATTGATTGTTTTATATGTCTCTGCTTTTCAGGCTGGCAATCCTCAATTATTTTGGATTGGAGTGGCCTTTATTAGGTGACAAAGGGGAGAAGGTTCAATTGCCAGAAGAGTGGTCGGCAGCCGAAAATTACCATTACATCCCTCAACTTATCACAATATGACGAACCACCCCTTGCTCATTTCCCTCTTCAGTTCGATTTTGATACTCTCCTCAATTTTCCCGCCATCCTCAACCGCCATAACGGAAACGGAAGCTCTGTTGCAGTTCAAGTCTCATCTCAAGGACCCTTTGAATTTCCTTAGCTCATGGAGCAAAGATTCCCAATCTCGCTGCAACTTTACGGGGATCGCGTGCGATCCGGTTTCCGGCCAGACTACGGGGATCTCGTTCGATGATAAGGCACTCTCAGGGGAGATTTCTCCGGTGATCTCAATGCTCTCCGGCCTGACAACCCTCTGGCTTCCGAGTAATTCACTCTCAGGGAAGATTCCACCGGAGATCGCCTGGCTGAAGAATCTCCGGGTGCTGAATTTGACAGGGAATAATCTGGTCGGCGAGATCCCGGACCTATCTTTCCTGACGAGATTGGAGGTTCTGGATCTGTCACTCAACTTCTTCTCCGGCAGGATTCCGGCGTGGGTTGGGAATTTGACTTCATTGACAATGCTGGCATTGGGACAGAACGAGTACTTCAAAGGTGAGATTCCGGCGAGCATTGGGAATTTGAAGAATCTAACTTATCTCTTTCTGGCGAATTCTCATCTCACCGGTCCGATCCCCGATTCGATTTTCGAGCTGGAAGCTCTGGGGACTCTGGATCTATCAAGGAACAAGATCACCGGCGAGTTCCCGAAATCGATTGTCAAGTTACGAAGCCTTTTCAAAATCGAGCTTTTCGACAACCTGCTCACCGGAGAGATCCCTGAGGAGCTCGGAAACCTGACACATTTAAGAGAGCTGGACATCTCTGCCAACGAATTACACGGAGAGATTCCGGCGAGCCTCGGGAAACTGGAATTTACCGTTTTCCAGGCCTATGAGAATCACTTCACCGGGGAAATCCCACCTGGGTTTGGAGAAATGCGCAGCCTGATTGGATTCTCTGTATACAGAAACAACTTCACCGGAGAATTCCCGGCGAATTTCGGCAGGTACTCTCCTCTCAACAGCTTCGACATCTCCGAAAATCAATTCTCCGGAAACTTCCCAAAGTACTTGTGTGAAGGTCAGAACTTACAGTACTTGCTGGCACTGGAGAACAGTTTTTCCGGCGAATTTCCGGATTCCTACTCCAAGTGCAAATCTCTAATGAGATTCCGAATCAACAACAACAGATTCTCAGGAGAGATTCCCGACGGAATCTGGGCGATGCCATTCGCTGTGATCATCGACGTCAGTGGCAACAACTTCACCGGTGGAATCTCCCCTGAAATCGGCTTCTGTTCCAACCTGAACCAGTTGATTCTGTTCAATAACAAATTCTCCGGCGAGATCCCATGGGAAATCGGTAATCTGGCCAACCTCGAGAGGCTTTACCTAAACAACAACGACTTCTCCGGCTCAATTCCTTCCTCGATCGGGAATCTGAAACAGCTTTCATCGCTCCAACTGGGGAAGAATTCGCTCACTGGACCTATCCCATCGGAGATCGTAGAATGCACCAAACTAGTAGACCTGAATCTCGCCGGCAACTCTCTCACCGGGCGAATCCCAAACGGATTCTCAAACCTCATCACTCTCAACTCCTTCAACCTCTCCCGAAATCAGCTCACCGGACCGATCCCAGACGATCTCGGCACCCTGAAGCTCAGCTTGCTCGACCTCTCCGAAAATCAGCTAACCGGGAAAATCCCACCCTCCCTCCTCTCCATGGCAGGGGAGAAATCCTTCGCCGAGAACAGAGCACTCTGCATCGAAAATCCAGTCGCCGGAGGCGGTTCACCGATGATCAGCGTCTGTACAGGGAAAGAAAACAGAGGAGAAGGGAAGAGCTCTGGATCATTAAAGCTCGCATTGTTCACCGCCGCTGCAGTAGCTCTAGTCCTCACTCTAGCCTGGCTTCTATTCGCGAGCTACATGAACTTCAAGCACGAATTGTCCGATTCGGAGCTCGGCCTGGAGAGGGATAAGAAGAAGGAAGAAGAAGCAGAGCCGAAATGGAACGTCTCGTCGTTCCATCAAGTCGAAATCGAGGCCGACGAGATAACCAATTTGGAAGAAGACAATGTGATTGGCTCCGGAGGTGCAGGGAAAGTGTACCGCTTGGAATTGAACAAGAAGGGAATCACGGTAGCCGTGAAGAAGCTATGGAAGGGAGATGGGTTGAAGTTCTTCGCCGCGGAAATGGAGATTTTGGGGATGATTAGGCACAGGAATGTGGTGAAGCTCTACGCTTGCTTGTTGAAGGGTGGATGCAGCTACTTGGTGTACGAGTACATGCCGAATGGGAACCTGTTCGAGGCGATTCATAGGAGGATCAAAGGCGGGAAGTTGCCGGAGCTGGATTGGGTTCATAGATACAGAATTGCCCTCGGTGCCGCGAAAGGGATTTCGTATCTACACCATGATTGCTCCCCTCCTGTTGTTCACAGGGACATCAAGTCGAGCAATGTGTTGCTCGACGAGGATTACGAGGCGAAGATCGCGGATTTCGGTGTGGCGAAGCTTGCTGAGGTGACTCATGATCGGCAAGGGTGTGATCATAGTTGCTTTGCTGGTACTCATGGCTACATTGCTCCCGGTAATTAACCTCCCTATGTTACATACTCCTCTGTCTTAAATCGTGAAAAGTTTTCAAAGTTACAAACTTTTGTCACTCTGACTGTTCATTTGGCAGAGATGGCGTATTACCTAAAGGTGACAGAAAAGAGCGATGTGTACAGTTTCGGGGTCGTGCTCCTCGAGCTCGTGACGGGGAAGAAACCGATCGAGGACGATGAGCACGGGGAAGGCAAGGACATTGTGTCGTGGGTATCCAGTCATCTCACGAACAACGAGAATGTCGTCAGGAACGTTCTTGACGGTGCAGTGGCCACTGATGAAGTCGTTCGAGACGACATTCTACGAGTGTTGAAAATCGCGCTCCTCTGCACCACCAAGCTGCCGAATCTGCGGCCGACGATGAGAGATGTGGTGAGGATGCTTGTTGATGCTGAGCCCTCGTCGGCTGCTGTGGGTGCTGATCATGTGGACGATGTAGAGAAAGGTTACTAAGAATGTACTTAAATAAAATTTTAGGGTTTTGATTGGGTTTTGGTAGTATTTGTTTTAGTGTGTTATATATTAGTGAATTCACTACCTTCCATCGGCAATTATAGATTCATTGATGCTGTTGCTCTGTATGTATATCTAGTAGCCTTCATTGGTACTACAATCTCAACACCCATTTTAAAGCAAGAAAACCAGTTATATGGGAACTCCTGATTCGCACTTTTAATGCAAAAAATGTGAAAATATCAAACTATAAGCAATAGAACAATGAAAACACATAGGCTTTGGCCTTTGGGTTCGTCAATGTGACATTAGTTCATGAAGATGATCTTATTCTCACATTTTCGGCAGTTTTTCGAGAGAGAAGCCCTTGGGAGAGATTAGAGGAGAGTATCCAATCCACCCAAGGAGCAAGGAGAAGGTGCAGCCAAATGAGAAGAAGATGGTTTCCAACACTTCCCCCTTCTTAGTTTGTATTTTCTTCCTCTCACTATGATTAAAATCCCTAAGGTTGTTTAGCAAAGATGAACTCTAGTTTATAGATTGTGTATGGATCATGTGTAAGAATGATTTTGAGCCTATAGTCTATGTCTATTTGATTGTGATTGATTTCTTGACCTAGGTGATAGTTCAATTCCCTTGGGTCAAGAGTGATCTAGACATCAATTTGTGTTGGATTGTCTGTATCCCATTTTCCTTAGTTGCAACCTAGATAATAGTGGATTATCATTAATTTACACATGGGTTGATGGTGTATTTGAGTTTGACTAAGGTGCTTAATGCTTGTAATTAGGGTTAGATGTGTGTGAATGCTTCATACCTTGATTAATAGTTGACCTAGAGAGCTCGCTAGAGGTTGAGGTGACCATCCCTTTCTAGTTAGATTCGCACCTGGTTGATTCTGGTAGGTTAGGCGCGTGACCATCGAGCTACCCTACATGTGTGCGGACAGATTTAAGTTGTTTAGAAGAGGCAGAACCTATCCCTAGTTAGATAACTCGGTTAAGGTGACATTGGATCGACTATCCTAGCTAGGAGGGGGATCGATTCCATTACCATTGACTCGATTCCCACCTTCAAGACCTCCGCACCTCGAGACACCATTAGATTATTGCCCGTAACAACCTATAGCTAGAGGGAGTCAACCCTAGCCAACCCTCTTGTCTCTAGCAGTCTCACAACCACTTTATTGATTGTGTTTAGGTAGTTAGGTTAGGTTAGGTTAGTTTTACCCCGCAATCTTCCGAGTTGATTAGATAGTAGTTCGGAGCGAAGTAATAGTAAGCCTAAGGTTCCCTTGGATAGTTATACTTGGATTTGTTTGACTATAGTGCGCTTCGATTTTAAAAATTTAAAGCTCGATCAAGACGTAATCAAGATTCTACACCACGAGCGCACTGCGCACATGAGAATAGGAGAAAACGAATGGTTCAAGTAACCGATAATATTATTCCAATATTTAATGGACATTACACAACACAGTAACCGATAATAGTATTCCAAAAATATAATTTATTATCCACATTTAGTAGTCGATGGTTTAGTATACAGTAGGATTAGTAAATATTATATAAATAAGTAACAACCATTTTGTCATGTGACAATATGGTACAGATCATTCGATTACCGAAATCCACCCGCCACTCACCCGAATAAGTGCGGACATGAGATGTACCAATATGTAATCCACCCCACATCAATCATCTATGCACTGCCATTTGGACTATTGAGTATGTGAATCGATGTCAAACTGCGGATTAACTACATATATCCCTGACATGTCTCTTGGGAGGAGTAACATGAAGCTCAGAATTATAGGTGTATTCAATACTCCACAATAAAAGGGGAATTGATCTATGGTCGATTCAGTTAAATAGGAATTGCTAGTTGTACCTCGTGAAAACAAACTTCTTTCTTTTTATCTTTTGTGGAATTAATCATTCTTTTTATTTGATATTTTCGTTAGTTTGGAAAGAAATTATGTTTACACTAAAGTAAGTAAGTAAATATGTCATGGTTACAGGAGTCTATAGGTCGTATATTGAAGAGGTTTGTTATCTCTCGAGGAGATACAACACCTAGTTCACATAATGTGCAATTCATTCACGCCATTTGATAATTATTTCTAGTATTTCAATATTTTTTGCACATAACAATTATATTTATTCACCCAAAATTAATTGAACAACCATTCCAAAGTTTTCAATACACAAAAAAAAAAGAGTTAAAACTCCACACCAGGGCAGGGAAATTTTTTCATTGTCCAACTTATGATACTTCGCTGGCCATAACGGGCCATATTGGGCCATCAGCGTTGGGCCAATTCACGAACTGGATATTGGGCCTTGATAAACAAAGAAGAATCTACCTGGAAAAGTTGAAACAGTAAGAAATTCGTCACTCCACTGATCAAAACATAGTAAAAGAAAATTTCTTCCAGTGATTATTCAAAACAAAAGACTCACTCCCCCGTTGTTAAGGACTTGGTCAAACTGGTCCTCGGTCTTCTATTTCCTATTCCCAGAAACGCTCTTTTACTTCAATAAACCGCGTTTCTTTCCTTTTCCTCCACCCCCCAAAATTTCTTCCTTTCCCCTGCTTCCTCCTCCTTATCTCATATTCCCCACCATGAAATTGAATCCTCCGCAAATCCATTTCCATGGCGGCGGCTTCTCCCCCTCCTCCTGGTACTAACCCACTCTTCTCCTTTCTCTTCCTTTTCTCCTCACTCTTCTTCTTCTACTACTCTGCCCTGCCCCATTGTTCTGCTCTCCCCACCTTCTCCATCTCCGAAACTTCCAACCAAACTCTAATCTGCGCTATCGTTTACCGCTCGGAAACCCAGCAATCCTACCTCAACTGCACCAGTCTCGACGGAACTGGACTCCCCGGGGTCCCAATCTTTCCCGATGTCCCGTTCTCCGGCGTCGTTTCGGGGGATGGGTTCGTTGCTGCAGTCAGAACTTTCACTTCCCCTGTTCCCACTACTTCCACACTCGTCACCTGGCGGTTTTCCGGCGGAATCGTGGAGAGGAAGAGGATCTACTCGGGCCCCGAGATTACGGAGCTGGAATCCGGTAACACGAACATCTGCGGGTTAATCGGTATTAGTGGTAATGCTACTGATTCCTCTGTCCCGAACTTCGATTGCTGGCAATGGCGGGAGTTCAACGCCTCCTCTGTTCCCCGCTTCTCGAGCATCGCCGTCGGGGGAGATTTCGTTTGTGGGATATCGTCGACAAATGGGAACATAACTTGTCTGGGCGACAGCCGGAACAGTAGTAGCTCGAGAGATGTGATTTCTCAATCTCCTCCGGGAGAAAATTACAGAGCAATCGCCGCCGGAGCTGGGCACGCCTGCGCGCTGAGCTCCGACGGTGGGTTAACTTGCTGGGGAGGAGACACGATCTCCAGCTCAAGCTCCATTCTGGAAGGGGAACGATTCATATCCATGGCGGTGGGGGAGAATCGCACCTGTGGATTGAGAAGCAACGACACGGTAATTTGCTGGGGGCAGAACAATTTCCTGCTGCCGGCGAGCTTGGAAGCAACACATTTCGTTTCGATTGAAGCGAAAAGAACCGTCTTCTGCGGTGTCGTGAGGGAAGATTTCTCCCTCCATTGTTGGGGCGGCGGCAATTTCACCAATCAGAGCTCCAATTCTTCCTCAATCGTTTTCTCAAGAGTGCTACCCAGCGCCTGCCGAATTGACAGTCAATGCCGTTGCGGTCCATTGACCGGAAGCGGCAACCTCTGCCAACCTGGCTACAGCATTTGTCAGCTCTGCCGGGATTTCACAAACCCTCCTCCTCTTCCTCTGTCACCGCCGCCGCCGTCGCAGCAGCCTCAATCTCCACCACCGCCGCTCAATTCGAGCGGTGGCGGCGGCGGATGGAATAGCAAAATGACCGCGTTTACTACCGTCGGATCCGCGGGATCCCTAGCTGTATTGCTAGTGATCGGATTTTTCCTCTACAAGCGAGTGAAATGCAGCAGCTGTAAGGTCCACGATTCCGGTCCGATGGACGAGCCGACGACGAGCACGCCACCGCCTCCGCAGCAGCGGAATCCGTCTCTGCCGAGAGTGTTGGAGAAGCGATTGAGCGAACTGGCGAGCATGGGAAACGCAGGGCAGCTGGAGGAATACTCGCTGGAGATTCTGCTCGAAGCGACGAGCAATTTCTCCGACGAGCACAAGATCGGAACGGGGAGCTTCGGGTCGGTTTACCGGGCAACGTTGCCTGACGGGAGGGAAGTGGCTGTCAAGCGAGCGGAGTCCTCGTCGGGAAATTCGCCGCGTACTTCGTTGGGGATTTTCGTCAAACACCAAGAGGACAAAGACAACGCGTTCGTCCACGAGCTGGAATCCCTCTCCCGGCTCCACCACAAGAATCTGGTCCGACTATTGGGGTTCTGCGAGGACGGTTCGGAGCGGATCTTGGTCTACGAGTACGTGTCCAACGGTTCGCTCCACGACCACCTCCACCGGCTCGACCAGTCCCCGCTCGCCACGTGGCCCGCCCGGATCAAGGTGGCGCTCGACGCGGCCCGCGGGATCGAGTACCTTCACGTGTACTCGGTCCCGCCCATCATCCACCGCGACATCAAGTCGTCCAACATCCTGCTGGACGCCTCGTGGACCGCGAAGGTGTCGGACTTCGGGCTCTCGCTGATGGGGCCCTCGGACGAGGAGGCGCACCTGTCGATGCGCGCCGCGGGGACCGTCGGGTACATGGACCCGGAGTACTACAGGCTCCAGCAGCTGACCGCGAAGAGCGACGTGTACAGCTTCGGGATCGTGCTGCTCGAGATGCTGTCGGGCTGCAAGGCGATCCACAAGAACGAGAACGGCGTGCCACGCAACGTGGTTGACTTCGTCGTGCCGTACATCGTGCACGACGAGATACACCGGGTCCTCGACCCGAGGCTACCGCCACCGACTCCCTTCGAGATCGAGGCGGTGGCGTACGTGGGTTACCTAGCGGCGGATTGCGTGATGTTGGAAGGTAGGGATCGACCGTCCATGACGGACATTGTAAATAGCTTGGAGCGTGCATTGGCCGCTTGTTTGGTTCATTCGGGCTCGCTTTCTCGGTCCACCACGGGTTCTTCTGCATAGAGTACAAATTGAATCAAAATCGAAATGAGATCCTTCCTTTGATTGAACATTAATTTTTTTCTCATTGTATTGAAAATGATTAGTCATTGTGTTGATATGATTCAAATGGGGAATTGTATAGAAAATGTACCTACCATGAAGAAAAAAAGAGAGGGTTATTGGAACTTTGGTGGCAAAAAGGTGTTTGATTGAGTTTGGTCATTTTGCAATTTGTTTGGTCCAAATCTTTGCCTTTCTTCCAAGCAATTTTACACATGAATAACCAATCTTTCAATTGTTAGGTCAAATGGGGACGAAAGGTTTGAAATTCAGTAGTCCAATATATGATGAGTTATATATAGTGCTAATTTCAACCACCTCAACCTCTAAGTTTATGTTCTTTATAAAAGAAGAAATGTCTATGTGAGTGCTATACATCAATACCATTTTGATTCCTAGACTACCTAGTAGTATTTGATATATAAATCGTACTTCGCTTTTCTCGACAATTTTATTAAGCTAGTCATTGATCCAACATTGATCAAGATCTTCGATAACCTGTGTATATTATCCTTTTAGCAACAATCTATTTACTATCATATACAACTATCTACTATCATTACATACTTGTTACTTCATTTTCCCCCAAGTACATTGGAAGCCAAAGACATTCTTTTTTTTTTTTCATTTGTGATATGAATTTCACTCTTTGATATCAAGTTATCGTACTCGGTAGGATAGGTGTAAGCACGTATTCATACCTTTTTAATCGTCGAATATGTAATACATAAAAAAAACACGAGATACAATGAGTATGATGCATTCACAACTGATCCAATAAGAAGTCTCGGACACAAGATAGCGAGTATATATGCTCCATTTAACAACCAAACCCCAAGTTGATACCCCAAAACCAATTTTCACTACATCTTCATTTTTGTTTTTGTTTTTGTTTATTCCACTTTTAAATGAGGGTTCAAAGCTACTCTAGAAACCACTCTATGGATACGTTGATGATCATTAGTAAGTCAAAGTATCAATTAGCAGACAATTATACAATGACTAGCAAGTGACCTGCCTCATGAATAAGTGAACCAGTAAGCTTGCAAATCATAATAATGAGTAATGCCAATAATTAACAAGTGATCCACCACTTACAAGTTGCCTTTGATTAACAAACCCCCCCTATTAAGTAACATACAAGGCAAAAAGAAGAGTCATTAAGTCAATGGAAAGCTCTGTAAGATTACCCGATTATCATAATCTTGACATTATATTATGATATTGACCGACATGGTCCAAACCCTACGAAATCAGAAGACGACTTTGTCTTTCCTGACTAATAATAATATGTGGAAAGGGAAGACTCCACCGCCACCATTCAAACTGAAAAAATTCATGCAGCAGAAGAGTGACAGAAGAAGGTTCTAAGCAGCAGCTTAATTTGAGTTTCTGGCAAGTCGGGGGTGGTGAGGACCTCGAAGAAAATGAAGAACCAACAAAAGTCCTTTTCTCCTCTAATGACTTCCACTGCAACACAAACTTTTTCTTTCCATGGAATAGGAAATGAAAAGCATGTGGAAAAGTCTTTCCATGAGAAGGAAGGAACAAAAAGACTTGTCGATTTCCTGAATACATGCATCTAGAGCAGAAATATAGGATTGTTCTAGAGGATGATGCTTGACTCAGTGATATTTGTAATCCCTCTGTAAAATTTCGTCCAAATTCTTCATCGGGAAGGTTGGACTTGAATAAATTAACTATTTCAGCTAATTATTGGACTTGAATAAATTCTTTAAGGAATGAACTCAGGAGACAAATTAAATTTAACACCACAGTACTACACATAAAAAGTGTTCGTCAAAAAACCCAAAATCATAATACAAAAGGCATATATGTTCAAACAACATAGGATAGGAACTAAAAGTGCAAATTTTCCCAAGCATAAGACCAACACAAATCCTGAACCAATCCATGTCAATCACTCGAGTAATACAGAGATGCACAATCAATACTGTCGTTTATCCTTTTACAAGCTCCTCGGATGAAAGTTACAAGCTCCTCAAACGAGGGTGAGATATGTGTGCATGTGCTCAACTCATCAGTTCTCATGCTGAAATGAACATTTAGATGAGTGCACATAATTAATCGGGACCATGATTGAATTTTCGGTTTGAGTTTGACATACCTCTAAGGTGTCTCTATCTTATTTAAATGCGCTACTGTACAAGATTATCAAACCGCATGCTGTCATGATGAAGAAAAGTGGAGGAAGAAACAGGAATACGTGTGCTGGAAGAAAACCAACTTATTGATCGCAGTTACTAAGAGAAAAGAGGCGTTCCGGCAAACATACTTTCATATCAAGCAGCCAGAGATTCTGAAGTTGCCTTCCTACTATCTAGCAGTTTCGACAAGGCATTGTCGATCTCAGCGAAAACCTCTTGCTTTGGCGCATTCCCTTTGACCTGGAAATGCACAAAGACAAGAAGAAACCCAAGTCAGATGCTGAAAGACAATTTTTTTTATCCACAGGAAGAGTCCATCTGAAATGTTATCCTTCATTCTTCTGCAAAACCTATGTTGGTTGAACACAACTTGTAAGCATTAAATATCACAACAAGTTCTCGTTTTCAGAACTAGTTAATCATGTTGAATATAAGTTAATACAACTCTGCTCTCTGCATGGGTTAAATTGAAAATTTTCCTTCTATAGCCCGATTGCACCAAGAATGAAATTATACATATCAAATTTTGCCGAAATGAAAGTGTTTTTCCTATTTCTACAAACTACTCTTGCTGATTCTACCTTTTTGAATGTTCATAATTGATTTCGGTGTTTCAACATTTCAAATCCTTTATTCAGAAATGCCAGAAACACTAAAGCGTGAAACAACCAGTTTGGAGTTATTTATATTATACCACATTGGAAACTAGGCATATATTTGAGCGCAATTCAATCATCAGATTGCTGGAACTTAAGTTCCAGAATGCCAGTACTCGTTAGCTAACTCGTTTTGGATGTCATTAGCGAATAAAGTTCTTACTAATTTCCTATGTAAGTTATGCAATGAAGCATCAATCACCAGAATAGGAACTAAAAGTAGATAGACTTGCCTTCAAAGTAATATCTTCATACATTGAGAGTACGGCCTCCACATTCTGGTTATGGGTCTGCAACCGCAACTTCACCTGTTGTAATAAGCAAAACCCATTAATCAACTTAACCAAATTAACCAAACCCACTAACCAGCTAGATGTGACAAAATAAAGAAGATCCATTTTCTTGTCTCTATCTTGAAGCAACACAACACTATAGCCAAGACGTGCCTTTTCTTCAGTGTCATCGAACCGTTGAGTGAGTCTAGCAGCTATTTCTTCAGTTTCAGGTGGAGAGTAGGTCAGGTGGTAAATCTTGCCAGTAACGGGGTCCAACCTACGCCCAACAACTCTTTCAACCAATATATCTTCAGGGACCTGCAAATATGGTTGCAAAGTTTTCAACTTTTAGTGAAAACAAGAGGACCAGCGATAATAGCCAAGTTCTTACTTCTAAGACAATGAAGATATCAGGCTGAAAGCCGTATCCCTTGAGAGCAGTTGCTTGGGACATACTCCGTGGGTATCCATCTAATAGCCAACCCTTCTCTTGCGAGTCAGGCTGCAGCAGCCGATCCTTCACCATCTATAAGGCAAAAGAATACTGCCAAATTAAAACTAAAGATTAAAAAGGTTCGATAGTAAACATTTCGCCAAGTTCACTTCTCGCACCATCACGACTATTTCATCTGGAACCAACTGTCCTTTCTCCATGTACTCCTTAGCCCGCTTGCCATTTTCACTCCCGGAAGCAATTTCTGCCCGCAGCAAGTCTCCAGCAGCAATGTGCACCAAGTCATACTGCACATATGAGAGCATGAACATGAATCAATCCATATGTCTTTAGTGACTACCTTAAGATCAGAAACCGATGCTGGCATTGCAACATGTATTGTGCATTCATCCAATTGCAATCCCATCCAGAACTTCCATCACAATACGGTTAGCACCACTTCGGCCAATGATTCATCGCACTTATCTTTATCACATTGACAACGAAACTCACCTATCCAAACGAGAAGCACTGAACCCGTCCTAATATTTCCCTGTAAGCATCCATTTCTTCGTCTAACATCCATCAAATAACAAAAACTCTTGATGAAACAAAATGCTCAGGCTAGATCGTGACCCACCCCACAACTTCAAATACACATTACCAACAACCAAAAACTCAAAGAACAAAGTGAAGTAAAGAAAAAGAAGATACCTTTTTGGTTATGAGCTCGCACTGAGTCCCTTTACCCGACGCCGGAGCACCTGATATCATGATTCTAAGAGGCGGTTCCGCCTTCGCCGAAGCTAAAACAACCTAGGGAGAAAAAAAATCCCCCAAAACAACCAATGAAATTCGAGAATCACCCAAATCAAGAAACTAAATCCCACCAATTCCCCCGCCATACCCAATTCAATACCTGATCCGGATCCCCGGAATTCGCCATCCGAAGGGAAGGAACGGAACGCTGAGAGCGGAGAGAGCAGCCGGAAACTCTGGAAGAGAACGATAACCGAGACGACGACGGTGAGGAGGCTAAAGTGGACGACGGAGAAGAATCTGTGCCATTTCTCCGATTTGCCCTAAAATTCGCTTTGAACGAGCTGCTGCCGCAACAAGCGGTAGCTGTTGCCGCCATTGTTGCCATCTGTCTCTCCCTTCCTCTCTCTCTCTCTCTCTGTAACGAACTCTGCGAATTGAGCGCTCGCGGAAAATGTTTGAAGAAGAAAGTTGCGTTCTCGCGGTAAACGGGGATGTTCTCAGATGGCGGCTTGGTCTTCCAACGACAACGGAATAATTCTTTTCTTTTTCGTCAAATTCTAAAGAAAAGAAAAAGAAATTGGTACAGTTAATTGGGCCTCTTTTCTTCCTCTCTTTTTCCCCGCGTTGGGCCAGCCTGCTAAAGAGCATTAGTGCTGGGTTGGAGGCCCATGATCAGGAACATGACCAATGAATTTTGGGGCGTTAAATGTAAAATATGACAAGTTTCGGGTTGAAACAGACATAGCAAATAGGTTCTGGCATCAAAAAGGGAAAGCAAATTAGAACAAAAACCTTTGCACAGTCTAAAACCCTAGTAATCTAATCGGAGTAGTAGAGGCGAATGCAAAATGCGATCGTCTCGATTCAGAATATTCACTCGGAAGCTCCTCACTCCGGCGCGAAATGCCGGGTCCCCGATCTCCAGGCCGGCCTTCGAGACCTCGCCGTCGCCGTCTGCTTCGATTCGCTCCTCACTCATGTCGTTCTCTACCGGTTGCGGCTACTCCGTTGAGAAGATGCGCCCTTCTCTTTTGAGAAATTTATCTTGCCGTAATGCATCGGTGCCTGCTGCTTCTGATAGTGTCGGAGTTAGAATGTACTCGTCCGAGTCGGGCGAGAAGCCGGACCCTGCTCCCGAGGCATCATCGGCGGTGGCAAAGCTCGGTAAGGAAGAGAAGTCTGTAGAAGTGGAGGATGTGAGCAATAAAGGTAAATTGTAGATAAAAACTTCTTATCGCGATCCTTTTTTCTATTGGTTGGTTCGTTGAACATAGAGGAATAGGAAGTGTGTTGAGTTAGGATCTCGCGGGCTTGGTTTTCAGATTTGAAGGAAATGATGGAGACGTATTTCAAGGGCGATGAAGACGTGCTTCCTGCTATCATGGAATCGATTCTGAAGAGGAGGCTGTCAGGAAAGCACGCAGATACAGACGACGAGTTGATGGAGGAACTTCAGATGAAGCCATTGGACGATGTGAAAGATCAGGAGTTTGAATCGGATTTCGAGGATACACACCCGACGGATGACGAGATCGACGATTTGTACAGCGCGAGGGACATTGTGGTTAAGAGAATGATGAAAGATGAGTACTTTAACATGGATGACAAGAAGTGGGACGAGATGGTGAACGAGGCAATGGGGCATGGAATTATAAAAGATACGAGGGAGTGTGAGGAGTTATTGGAAGACATGCTTAACTGGGACAAGCTTCTTCCAGGTAGAGTTGTTTCACCTTTGAAAATTAACATCGTTTCTTATTTAAGAGAATTGTATTGCCATTTTGAGAACATTGCATTTGTCCATTCTACCAAAGATCCTGGTGCTGATAGAGCCTTGCAAGCTCTTATGGAGCGAAGTTTTGATGTGGCTTTTGTCTTTTAGCCGAATACACTTTTTTCCTTCTGGATAGATTAAAAAAATTTCAACTGCTGGAGAACTTCAATATGGACAGCTTGTGAAAATAAGTTTAACGATCCATTTAGGTTCGTGTGAAAAAGGATAGACATGAGTCAATTACCCTGTTCATTTTGCTTTAAGTGTACTACTTCAGCGATGAAATCTTACTGAAATACAAAACCTTCCAGAAGGCATCTATCACTCACTGCTGAAGAAGTGTTAGTGCTTGAAAGTTCAGTGATACTGCACTATAGCAATGGCTTAATGAGAAACAAAACCTTTCAGAAGACTCTATCACTCTGCTAAGTGGTTTGGTAGAACTTGAAAGTTCAGGGATACTGCACCATATCAATGGCTTTCTTCTGTGTTATTGCTTGATAAATTTTCCCCCAATCTTTTTATATGGCATTATTGTGATCTATGAGAAAACTTACCTTCAGATATTAAGGTTCGAGATTCGTCAAAAGTATAGAACTTTGACATTGGATAGTTTGTTTATCAAGTGTGAGATTTGGCATAACCATAAAGCCCTACTATAATGGTCAAGTCGTTCTGATTTATGCATTATATTTGAATTGACACATTTTCAGCTGACATTAAGGAGAAGGTGGAGAAGAAGTTCAACGAGTTGGGGGATATGTGTGAAATTGGGGAGCTTGAGCCTGAAGATGCCTACAAACTGTTCAAAGAATTTGAGGATCAAATTGTCATTGACTATGGAAAGAGAATGGAAACTGAGGGAGCCGCTCAGCTTGATGAGACTACTGTGCCAGACAAGAAAAAAGGTACAGACGACCCACCAGGTGAAGGACCGATTCTCAGGTGGCAGACTCGTGCAGTCTTTGCTCCTGGTGGTGATGCATGGCATCCAAAAAACAGGAAAGTCAAAATGTCGGTTACAGTTAAGGAGCTCGGCCTATCGAAGCATCAATTTAGGCGGATGAGACAACTGGTTGGAAAACGATATCACCCTGGCAAAGATGAACTCACAATTACCAGCGAAAGGTTAGTTCCTAACTGTTATTTGAGTCTGAAATTCATATAATACTACTTGTGGTTCTTTGTTCTTTTGCTGAACCATTACACGATTTCCATCCTTTACAAATTAAACCTGGAGGGACAAAGAAGAAAGACATGACAGGGTTAGCTTAGTCCATTTCTAAGTACTCATTGTCTGCATCCGAGAACTAGGCTCTTGAAAAACTTGCTGAATAGAAGCATCTTTTAGGCAATTCATTGGATGGAAATCTAGCCCATCTCAGTCTTTTTGCGTAACTACTATATTTTTGCTTCTTTGTCAAGTTTTATTGTGCTACAGATTACTAGAAGCCACTGTTACCTCGCCCCTGTTATAATATAGTCAGTTTTCTTTCTTACAGGTTCGAACACCGTGAAGAAAACAGGAAAGATTGCCTGAGAACGCTCTTTTCCATAATTGAAGAAGCTGGGAAAGCAAACAAGATGGCAGAGGATGCCCGAGTAGCATATGTCAAGGGCAGACTGAAAGCCAACCCAGCTTTCATGGAGAGGCTGCACGCAAAGGCGGCAACACGAAGTTCTCATGCAGTTGCCCTATGAAACATTCAACTAGCAACAACTGCTCCTTGAGCCGAAACACCTCTCGTAGTTCAGCAAATCGGCCCCCTCAAGGTTATCGTATTTCAGTTGGCAGTAACTTTAAGAAAATGGTGGTTCTTGGCATACATTTTTCGCAATCTACAGGTTGACAGAAGAACAGTTTTGAATCATCATTGAAATTGGCGGAGAAAGGAGATGCTCATCTAGTCATATTCCAGTTTGTTATGAACTCTGAAAGATTTGGCAAAGGCTGATATGGAATAAAGCCCCGTTTTCTTGAGCTAATATAGGCTTCGAATTGTGCCCTCATTCAACTATTCAAGTGGTTGTACTTGTACCTTTCGGTTTCAGAAATGTGGGAAGTAATCTTTCTGAAGCTCTTCCATTCGACTTTCTTCGATACATTTCTTTAAGGGATTGGATGGATTAATTGCGAAATAGGTAATTTAGTTAATTATCTCATTTTATAACTCGAGTTATACAAGTTGTTTGTAATGAGCCAATTTATTTTATCTAGTCTGAAAAAACTAATCGATCCAAAAAAAATTCAGATCAAATTGTTCCTTTCAAATTTATGCTATTGTTGGGTTAATCTGGTCCAATTGTCTCAAAATGAAATAATTAGATGAAATTGATCCGTCTTAATCCCGCATTCAAACAACCTGTAGCAATATCTTGTGTTCAAATTAACTTATAATACAAAGGGCTATTTAGAACAGAAGATGCAACTTTTTAGTTATTCAAGGCGTTAATTCGTTCTAAAAGCTCGAATTGTTTGCAAATTGCAAAAGTCATAGATCCTAAAGAAATTATACAGTAACATCTCAAAACGGATGTTAAAGTGGCTGAAATTTACCTTCACTCAGACCAAGAGATATCACAAAACAAGACTGCAGGACAGTTTGGTTTATCAATGCATGATATGATATGGCCATAAGCAACTGCTAGATCTGTTCAACACAATATATTGACGAGAAAGTAAATCTAGGGAGTGGAATTGACAAGCAGTATACCAAAACAATGTATGTAAAAGACTCATCATCATCAACAATTCGATTCACATCAGATTCTGAGTAGCAGCAGTCCAAGAACCAAGGCTGTTGACATGAGGCAGCAAATTGGCATAGAATCGAAACTCCTCATCCATCTCATCCATCTCAACCATAGTCATTGTCTCTGACTCAAAATCGTACGAATAAACCGAACCACCTTCATGCCTCTTGAAGATCACATCTCCCTTGATCCTCAAGCAAAACAAGGGGACCATGTCGATTAAGCTGCCTCTGGTAATCTTATGGTGCTTCGTCCACACGGCATCATCACCCTGGCCTACAACACTCTTCAGCTTCCATACATCTATGTGGAGATCCTCATGAGTGATGAACCCCAAGAGGCTGCCCATTTCGAGAATCCGATCGTGGGTCCCACAAATCTTGGGGAGCGGTACGAGGTGGAACTTTTCAGTTTCCAGATCCATAGACACTGTGAAGTTGTTGTCAGAAGAAAGAGTTGGAAGCCAATGCAGCGCTCCAATGGCCGAGACAGGACTGAAACCAAAACGAGGAAGCCGCCCAGAGGGAGGTCCGTTCACTGGCTTCCATGATCTTGAGCCGAGGTTGAGTGTCTCGCAGGCAATGTATTTCATGTCGTCCATGAACAAGTGGACCACCTTGTACCTGCCACCGGTCAAGGCAAATCCGTATGATTCCCATTCAGGACTGGTCAATGTACCCACAGGAAGAGCAAGGAGATTCCTGGTGACAGGGTTCATGACCAAGACCCCTCCTTTTTTTAGTCTATTGTCGAGCAGGATGAAACCATTGCATGCTGCTCTAATGCTACCCAGGCATTCGATCCCATAATCGCCAGTAACACCTTTCCCTTCTCTGCACTCAACAAAGTTGATGCTAAATTTGGAAGATCTATTAGCCATCTGATATGCAAACATGTTGAGCGGTTGTGATTGAAGCACTTTCCCTTCAACTGAAAACTTGTTTCCCCGGTTCGAAGATGTTGATGTTGGAGAGGAATAATGATGGGAGCTACCCATGGGGGTCGGTTTCACGTATATCAAAACGGATTCAGACTGCTCAAGACGGTTGTTGATGAAGGGAAGGCTGTTGATGATATCGTACCACGCCTTGCAAACAAACCTCGAAGATGGCAGTGATTCAAGTGGTAGCTTCATGAGAATGCTTGTGATGCAATCTTTGTCAAGGTAAGAAGAGACTTGTTTCTCCTTCCCTTCATCCTCCACCTTCTTAGACATTGATCTCTCCTTCACTAACTCCAATAACTTGGTGCTGTTCCCCATTTCTTTGTTCATGTTTCCCTCTCTTCACCAAACAAACAGAACAGTCAGAATAGAGGAATCATTTCTATTTTCACCTAGAACCATGGAGATAATCCTGAAAAGCACTTCATCTGACTGAGAGTCCCGATGACCAACAATTGAACTCCGTCCATTTTCATCATAATTGCAAAACAACAGAAATCAAGAACCCCACGTAAATCTTAAAACAAAAAATCAAAATTCAGTGACATTTGGAGTTGGATGGATGATCACCAACAACTCCCCCATCATCAGGTCAGAAAATTCGCAGAGACCCAGAACAAGGAAGAGATCGAAGAACCCCGAAACGGAGGATTTTCGGAATCCTGAACCAAACGGACAAACAGAACGAGGAAAACGCCGATCGACCCAAGTAACAAAACAAACGGAAGAGAGATATAAGACGGCATACCACAGGAGAGGAACGACGGAGGAGAAGCGGCGGTGACCGGTGAAGGGAGAAAGATTGCAGTTGAGGAATGGGGTTTTAGTAGTGGAAGGAGACTGGCAGCAAGGAGAGAGCCAAAGTCGGTCAATTTTCATGGGAAGCGACGATGGCGGAGATGGACTGCCATTTCTAGCTCCGCCCGTCGTTCCTAACAGAGCAAATCAAGGTGGAGCACGGTGTCGTTTTCTGTTGACTTAAATGGCTGAGCCTTTTTGTTCGGTTTCTTACTGGGCCTAACAAATTCAGCCCAAAATTTGATGCGAAGTTTTGAACTACAGTGTGAATTTGAGTATTAAAACGCATTCAGGAAAAAGCTCAGTGTCTATAGATGTAAAATACGTGGCTACTGAGCTACTCAATCGAATACTAATAGCTCGCCGGTGCCGCGCTAACAGTTGTGGCGCAAGGTAGCAGAAGAACCCTACGAATCGATTTCATTTTGGATAACGGTTTTGATCTCTCACTCGGCAGTTACCTTCGAAATCCAAAAGCTTTGTGCGAGGAAAAGAGCAGTTGTTTGGGGATTCGGCGGGTGATTAAGTGGTGCAGGAGAGTGCAGGTAAGTGTTCATGTGCGATTCTAGCGCTAAATAGTATCGGAATATCGGTTGGGTTTCTTCCAAATTGCGTTTCCCTCGTAGTGTTTTCGTTGAAATTGGATAACTTTGATGTTAGTTGGGTGTATAGGCTTGTTCCTCTTTGCTGCGTCTCTGATGCACATAACCTGTTTGATGATTTGCTCCTCTGAAGAAAGGGTCTGACTAAGGGGTAGTGTAGATAGCTTTCTTTTAACTGCTAGGTGATGGATTGGGGTTTGCTGTGGATTCATACTTAATTTGAGTTTTCTTTTTCGCTGAAGATCCTTACTTTGATGTTCTCTGACCAGAGATGAGTCGATTGCAATCACCTTCCGCCCTGAAACGAAAGCGCCCGGACTCAAACTCTCAGGGTATGACCGATCAAGAGAGTGTCGTCTACAAGCTGATCCACGAAAAAGAGAATATGGGAATATGGGTGCGAGACATCAAGCGATCCTCGAATCTCCAAGACACCATTGTCAACAAATCCATCAAAACCCTCCTGGACAAGGGCATGATCAAGGAAGTGATCAACGTCCAGAACAAGACGAGGAAGACCTACCTGGCAGCAGAGTTCGAACCTTCCCCGGAACTAACGGGTGGGGCATGGTACGACGATGGGAACCTCGATGTGGATTTCATCAATGCTGTAAAAAAATTATGCTCGCAGAAGATAAAACAGCTAAAGGTGGCTACAGTGGAGAGTGTGATGGACTCAGTCAAGGCTAGCGGGGCGTTCAAAGCCGATTTGAAGAAAAATCACTTTGAAGAGATCTTTGGTGCTCTGGTTCTGGACAACGAGGTGATGGAAGTGGAGAGCAACGGGATGGGGGAGTTCGCGGGTATAAAGGTGGGGAAAGTTTGCTACAAAGCTATTGGTAAGCGAAGAGTTGGAGCTGCTGCTGCTGCTGCTGCTGCAGCAGAGCCTAGGATTGGGGCGATGGCGTCCATACCTTGTGGGGTATGTCCAAGGATAAGTAGCTGTACTCCTGATGGGGTCATCTCTCCTGGTACTTGTGTCTACTACCAGAAGTGGCTCGACTTTTGAAGATCAACAAGCTGTGGTTTATAGTGGAAATGGTAAATAGGACTCCTCTGCCTTTATGATTTGGAGCTTCAATGGCTAGCTCACGGTGTAAGTCTCGAATCGGAAACCATTGTCCTGGAGATAGAAGCACCCTGTTCTCTGTGCAGGGATCAGAAGTACCGCTGCTACTTTGAAGACCTTTTGTTTTTCTTTTCTGTGGGTTTGTTTCTTTCATCATTAGTTACATAGGAGTTGATTGTTGTCCCTTCATCAACTGCTCTGGACTTGGATAAATGCTTTCTGATTATAGATCTCAGGTTTAGGAGCTCTTATTGGCAAATCTGCAACTGTCCAGAGTTCTGTTTCCTGCTGCAATTTGACTTGGGTGCTCAAGTGGAAAGGTTAGTTAGAAATCCACCGTCTTCATAAGCAGCACTTTCATTTTGATCAATTGCGTCATTCAGCCAAATGGCATTGCCTAGTCACTTGAGATTTGCAATAGAAAGAATCTCTATTCAGTCTTCATTAGAGATTCAACTTAGAATCATTAAGGGAAAAGTATAGTGGTGCCTTTGTTGTTTCAAACAATAACTCAGCTTAGTCCAGACAACTTCCAACAAAGCTGCTATGAAAAAAGAATTGTTCATGTTCATCATCAACGAGTTATTATGTTACTGATTAATATTATTCTCAAATTTCGTAAAACAATCAAGACACCAATAATCGCTAATTTTTATTAGTTAAACTAGTTATAATCCCTATATATTAGTTAATGAAGAAGCTCCTCTATCATTTGCAATGCAACCCTTTCCTCTTCTTCTAACATTCCTCCTTCTTCCACACTACTAATTACCTTGTCGTCCGACGAACCACCACCAAGCTCTCCTCCTCCTCCTCCTCCCACCATCCCCGCCGTCATCCGCCGGTCCTCCCCACTTCCTCCGCCGCCGCCGTTTCCCTCCACCGTCTTTCCAGCAGCAGCAAGCTGATGATCATCAACCCTCACCACCCATTTCGAGTCCCCGGCCCGCTTCTGCCAAACCCCAATGTGGCAGCTCTCCGCGTCCAGCCTTAAGCAAGTCAGCGAAGACGACAACACCGTTTTGCCGCAGTACTTTTCCCGCAGCCTGGCGCTCAGACCGGACGTCGTTTTAGCGGCGGGTGATGAAGAGGGGAAGTTGGTCTTCGCGTTGCGGCCGCTCATGAGGACGGCGGCTTCGTCGTAAGCTCTGGCCGCTTCGTCCGCCGTCTCGAACGTTCCCAGCCATACCCTCGTCTTCCTATAGCCATGCAAAGAAAAATTGTTATGTAAATTGGATTTTGAAGTGAAGACTGATCAGCATTTTGAATGGAGTTTTGAAAGGGAGATTTGATTAGTGTTTTACAGCAATGGGTGGCGAATCTCGGAGACCCATGAGCCCCAACGCCGTTGCCTCACGCCTCTGAACTTCTTCTTCGCTTGTACCATTTTGATATAGTGTATACAGTACGTGCTCTCAACTCGAAGGAATGTTTGGTTTTGCTCGGAATGAAAGTTGTGTAGTGTAGGTGTATATATAAGAAGTAAGAACTCTGGTATACTATGCCGATGACAAAATACACTCGTATAGTCAAACTTTTCGAGCTTGTGTCAATAATAGTTATATTTTAAGAAATATTACTTATAACCACTTCCGGCAAATTTCTTTATGATACAAACTAAACATTTACATTAACCTTATGGAATAGCAAATTCAATTTGTACTCGTTTTCCTTTTCGTACAAATTCCTCAAATTTCTTTATTGTACAGTTGAAATTTCAACTTTTAACGATGTGATACAAATTCAACTTTTATCTGAAAGCACTGGTAATTATCAACGTTGTTCATAAACTTTTTTAGTGTTAACTAAAGCCAGAGAAATCTTTGAGCAAAACCCAATGCGTAGTGGTGTGGTAAATTTTGTAGTCTAAAAATCATGAGTTCGTCCTGTGCTTCAAAATCGCAGGTGCGTTTGTTTTCAACGCGTGTTTAACTTTTAAGTAGGATCTCACGTTGTATATCGTGGTTCTTCCCAATTCAAGGAGCTCAGACACGACTTGTCGAGAATCAATTAATTGGTCTCAATAATCTGATCTAAATTGTTGGAAGACATTCAGTAGTGGATTATATACCATTGACTAACACAGAGTATCTTAGCTTCTACCGCTAATTAAGTTGCGCTAAAGCAGGTGATGATGACCTATGGCCAAAATCAGTTGTAGGGTAGACTGAGGAATATTATTCTTTGCCATAAATTTGTGTTTATTTACGTCCCACATGGAAGACTTTACAGATCGCAGAACGAATGGTACGTTTGAACTTTGATGTAAATGGAAGATTTTACAGATCCCTGAACTCCAGCCATGGAGTAAATATTGCCTCACGAACCCATGCTCCATTACTTCAGTCATTTTCCTTGCTGCGTCACATAATATTCCATATTTCACTTTCCTCGCTTAGGGTCTCTTCGTTTTGGTCTTCATCCACAACCAATTACACTATCAAATAGTGAAACTTTTTTTTTTTTGGTGACAGAAGCATTAGTTCATTAATAGTAACAAACTAATGAAGGTTATAGATAAAGAGCTAATAAGTTCAATGAAGATACATAATAAATAGCACAAAACAAGCATAGAAGCTGAAAAACAACCAAACACTAAGAAAGAGTAGAAGACTACGACGACGCATATGGAATCAAACCCCAGACAGAAACCGATCGATCGCCTGAAAGTTTGAAAGAGTGGACGACAAGAGCAAACGCCGCAAGAGATGAAGAAACGACGAGCCTTTTTCTCTACACACATTGGCATATGTATTGTTTAATAAATTACTTTTTCATGCAAACGGTCGCGATATCAACGACCTTGTTGTAACCCTAAAAATGACCAATAAGACATTGATGAGATAGGATCGTTTGCTTGTTAGATTAATATATTGTTCAAATTAAGATCACTTCTATCCTTTGGGATTTCAAGATCACTCTCAATTCCTTCTGGGATTTCAAGATCCCAAGTGGAATCAATCAATACCTTACTAGCTTGACGATCACCTCAAATATGGAACTGGATATATAGCAAGACAAATGAAAAAGAAAGGGAGGTAGAAGGGTGTTCATCAATTGATTACCATCAATTTATTGAGAGGAGGTAGCTATAGTGACCAACCGGCCAAAAATAGGCGTTTGGCAAAGGAGATTCTCGAAGGTTTGAATGCCCACAAAACTGTTATCGGCAATGGAGAACATGCATGTATATAAATTAATAACGAGACGTCGTCACTATCCACAGCCGGGGAAGAATAACACATATATTATTGTAACCGGCCATGCATATATATGCTTCAGGCTCAAGTTCTGGTAGCTAGCTAGCTAGTGTCTCAAATGCTCCAATTTGCATGTATTAGTGGGTAGAAGTATAGTAGGTCTTTGATTCTTGCATATGTAGAATTTCCTTTCGATGAATGTGAGTAGGACTTGTTTGGTTTTATGTCATGAATTCGATTCAAATCGTCATGTTCATTCAACGCCTAGCTTAATTCTTAAGATCTTTCTAGTTTCTTTTATAGTTACAATAATATGTATAATAGCTCTATGATTCTTGTAAATATAGACTTTTCATCTAAGAGTGCGACTTGTTTGACTTACCTGATTGAAGTCAATTTAGACCTTTCTAGTTTATTTTATAGTTACAAAAAATATCATGTTAATTAGTACGTGCATTGTCGAGAATCCTCCAATATATTGGGAATCGTAATCTCGTGTGTCAAGAATTTATGGTCTCGTGTTGGTCGATTAGAATTTTTTTTTTTTGTGGCTTAACTATGTATCTGATGAAAAATTTTCTCACTTGTGTTTGAGAATCTTAATCTCGCGAATAGTTTAGATTTGCTAACAGAACATTTACACCAATATCAATGATTGATTGTTCGTTATAAATGGTCACACAAAGTGATGAACGGTTAAGCGATCATAATAAAATAACCTTAAAATAGTTTTTTTTTTTTTTTACTTTTGTTTTGAAGATGATGTTGGGCTGTAGTAACAATCCATGTTCTTTCCTCCCAACTTGAGTCCAATTCTTTGGACACAAAGCCCATCTCAGCCCAACACCAAATTTTTTGGGTCATTTGATGCCCCTCAAACCCTAGCACCTTTGTCTGTGTGTTGTGCCAGCCTGCCTTTGTCAGTTTCTTAACTTCAATGCTCCAACCAAGAAGCCATTACTGTCTTCTTTCTTTTTGCAGCAAGTTGAAACTTCACGTTCTAAGTGTTTTGCGTCTACGTAATTGAGCGTTGAATAAGTTAAACAGTTGACAAACACCAAAGGTAGATATTCCTGCAGGTGCTATCAGACTAATTAATTACTTGACGGACAATTAAACTATCTCATAAGCTATTCGTTGTATCATCGATTTATCTCAATAGCTCAAATGTTCAGAAAAAGTAGAAAATATGCATTAAATTACATTGTTATAACGTTCCTCCGAACAAAATTCAATCATTGGCGAACTGTTGCACAAATCCATTATCATCGTATGTTAATAATGCCCATATGAAGTTCAACAAGATCAATAGCTGAACACATATAGGATGGTTTTGTGGTCATGTAACGAGATACAATGATCTTTCCAATTGTTGAGCCCGGTATTAAATACCATCCAACTTTTGTTCGACAGGTATGATAAAGTTTGACGGTGTATATGAAATTTATTTCTCGTTGTTCCTAACTATAACTCAAATGATTGGAATGAAACAAAATGTATTCGAAAGCTAATTATGTCCAAAATTTAACGATTGATTTAAACACGTAGAGATTTCACTAACCCTCAAGATAATTAATGATCCCCAGCCATATTCCTGTTGATCCCACTTCTAATTTTCTCATTTTGTCAATCAATTGGTGGGTTATAAATAGACGAGCAAAGAAATTTAATTTTGGATTCATGAAGAACCCTAACCAGCATTGCAGTATATGGTGTGAATTTACACCTGGAAAAGATGTTCATTTTCAGTTAAAACAACAACATCTAGGGCTTGTTTTTGGCAAAGCAACAGCTCACTCTTCACATTCTTTCCCTATCACCTCTCTCTTTCCTTGCCAAAAGCTAACTTCAGAAAGAAAGTAATCTATTTTCATCAAATTCACTTTCTTTTTTTGTCCCTCTACTTCAACTGGAATTTCATTAGTCGATTATTTTTAATAAATTGAGACTATAAACTTATATGAATTCTTCGAGTAACTGTAGCACTCAATCTCTACTGACATTTTATATATTCTTTTGACTTTTGATCTATGCAATTAGTGAATTATTGTTATCGAGTCGAGCTAGATTTCAAACAACAAAAATTTATCGTTAAGGAATCATGGTTTACATATGCCCTATGAACCAAATTGAATGTTGTAGGAATAGAAAAATTGAACGAATCGTGCTATACATACTTTAAACAACTTGACAATCTTGAGAGATCACACTACCTAAAAAACGGCCACTTTGCTAGATATCGAATCATCATTTAACATTAGAAAATCGTATAATTAAGCAAATTTCATCTAAAAATTAATGAGATTGTTAGTAAACATTGCACAATTATGCCAGAATCGATCAAAATTTAGCTAGATCTTATGTGGAAGCATACTCCATTGATTTCCAAAAAAATCGCAATTAACTACTTAACCATATTAACTCATGATCAACTTCTATTCCCTTGTAACAAACACAAAAATGAAGACTAAACTAAACGAAGAAGAAAAGAAACCAAAAAGACAACTCCTTATTGCTAAGATCAGCAATGGTGGAGAAGTTGCTTTCTCTATTTCCCCATTTCTTCATTTTTCCCCCCTCTCTCTTTACTTAATTTTGCTTGTATAAGTGCTGGGTTAGACAGACTTACAGGCAAAAGAAAGTAAAGAAGGAATTGCAAGAAAAATACAGAGCTATAAATCGAGAGTGAAAGGGCAAGAGAGAGAGAGAGGTGTGTGTGTGTGTGTTTCTTTGGAATTCTAAACTTTCCATTTAGTTCATATCTGATCTCTTCTCACCAGCCAGCTGATCTCTTCTCTCTCTCTCTCTAGCTGCAGGTTTCTCTCTGAACTCTCTGATCAGTCTCTCATTTCATCATCATCATCATCAATTCATCATCATTATAGAATAATAAATCTTTTTTTTTTTTGAGCTCTCTCCTTGGGGTTTGGTTCTCCTCTGCATGCTTCTTTCCTTTTTAATTTGCTGCTCTCTCTTGGTTTTTCTTGTATTTATAACCCAACATAGAAAGGAATAAGAGCTTGTGAAGGGAGGAAGAGAGGGGGGAAAAAGCACCAAAAAAGGAGCAAGAATTCAGCTCCTTCTGAAACAAAATCTAGTTCTTCTTCTTCTTCTTCTTCTTCCTCAAGATCTCTCTTTCTCTCTTCCTACAAATTCACTCTCTCTCTCTCTCTCTCTCTCTCTCTCTCTCTCTCTCTCTCTCTCTCTCTCTCTCTCTCTCTCTCTCTCTCTCTCTCTCTCTCTCTCTCTCTCTCTCTCTCTTGTGTTTTTCTTATCCTTTTTGGGAGGTTAATCCCATAGCATAAGCTGATTTGAGATCTCTACTTCTTTTGTTGTATATGATATAGTTGTTTCCATGGCTTTCCCATACACAAACCCTTCTAAACTAGAGCAAGGTTCAATCTTTTCTCTCTTTAATCAAAAGGGTTGCTTTTAAATTTTTGGCTATACCCCTTAATCTAGCTTTGTAGCTAATGTGTAGCAACGATCTAGCTTGCTAACAAGCCTTAAATTGATATTAATCATCCATTTCAACTGAGATGGAGTGAAAAACATGGACAAGTACTTGATTGTCCAACATGAGGAAAGTTTTTTCCTTTGTCATTTTGGGTCCAGAAAATGAAAAAAATCATTGCACAATTTTTTTTTTTTTTTTTTTACACATGTAATTCTAGCTCCATGAAAACAGTTAAAGGACAGTACTAGAGAAATGGGTCTTTGTTACTTTGTGTCTCCCTAGCAAGCTCTCTCTAGCTAAGAGCTCTATGATAAGACTTCATATACACAGTTACACCTTCTCTTCTTCATTCATTCATTCTTCTTATTTTCTCTAAAGAATCAAGCTAGCTCTCTCAAAAATGGCTCCTCCGTCGAGATCTGAAGAGAAAAGTCCAAAACTTTCAAACCCTTTCTCATTTTTACCTTTGCTTATAAGTAGATCTCACAAATATGCTAACTTTATGCTATTTTGTAGAGTTTGGAGAAGATCAAGAAGAGATCAACAACAGAAACAACAGCAGCAGCAACATGGGAAGGGGGAAGATCGAGATCAAGAGGATCGAGAACACGACGAATCGCCAAGTGACGTTCTGCAAGCGCAGGAATGGGCTGCTGAAGAAAGCCTACGAGCTCTCTGTGCTTTGTGATGCTGAGGTTGCCCTCATTGTCTTCTCCAGCCGTGGCCGCCTCTATGAGTACTCCAACAACAAGTAAGCTAATCTTAGAATCAATAAGCTTAGTATAATTAATAAGTTCAATGTTTAGGTGACTTAAATTTCATTTCTATATATGGATGATCTATAGACCAAGATCTATGCACCTCATCTAATCTGTATATGTAAACATCCAAATTTTTTCATTTTTCTGTATGCATGATGATGAGAGGCTGAGTATATATAGCTATACAAGAAGGGGAAAGAAAAAAAAAAACAAGTCAACCATTAGATATTGGTTAAAATTCTATCACATATATATAAGAACTTACCATAGTTAGCCTTCCCCATTTTTGGCTTCCAAAACCTCATAAGAGCATCTCTCTCTCTCTGTGTGTCCATTTCCAAGTTTGAGATTCATGAAAAAAAATTTCTTCTGAGAAGAATTACTACTGTTACACCATGTATTAATTGATTTATAAGAAGTTTTACATATTATTACCTTATGCTGAGTATTATTATTATTATTATTATTATTATTACGATAAACCCTATCACAAGGCTATGGCTCTAGGGTTTCCACTTCTAGTTATGTGAGGGAGACTGGTGACTTTTTCCCCCATATATTTACCTAATCACTATTTGGGGTTCTTACAGCCCCAACCCACACTGACAATGACAAGAAAACAAGGTTCAGATGAACAGAAGAAAGAAAAAAGAAAAAAAAACAAGGTTGAATATGAAATACAAAATCATGCATTAAAAACTTGTGTATAAAGGTCCATAAATGACCATAAAGAGTGATATATAAATGGACCAAAAAGAAATAAAATTTAAAGAAAATGGGAAAGAAAGAAGAAATTAAGCTGTTGGGTCAGAAAAGAAGACAGAGATGGAGATGTGAATTAATTTGAACTATTGGTGATGAAGAGATCTTCTTTCACAAAAACAGAAGGAAAAGTTGGAAGTACTTTGCCCTTCTGAAACATTCCATTTCTTGCCTGCAGTTCTGTATAGAACTTCTAGTTGGGATGGCATTGGTGTCCCTCATTAATAAAAAGATGGGAACTTTCACAAATTTCAAATTAGTTAGCTACATCCATATTTAAAAAAGAAAATTGGGTTAATAGCGTTAGTGTAATAACTACGATGTCGGTTCAATACAGATACAGACAATATTTTGCTAGACTTTTCGTAAAATATTCGATATATGTCATATCTTCTGCATTCTCTTTGTGTACGTATGATTTTATTTTTTATTTTTTTAATTATGAAACGACTAATTATACATTGTTTTCTTGATATTGAGCAAGAATGTTCACGAGTTTGCTTCATTCCTCCTAGCTTACACAAGTTAGGGTTTTCTAATTATCCATATATCTTATTACTATTGAACTTTCATTCACTTTTTTTTTCCTTGTTCTTTCTGTCATTGCTTTTTTCTGTGTCCCTCCTTGTTTCTTTACTTGGTGTCTTTAGTCCTCTTCGAGAGTTAAACAAAATGTATCATGGAAAAGGGAAACTTTGAGTCAACTTAACAATGGACACATTTTGTCTAGAACAATTCATGAAGCTGTCTCTCTGTCTATGGCGCATTGGAACTCTAATAAAAAGTCATTGTCCATCGTTTCTTTGGATGCTCAGAAAATGGTAATGATTAGGGTTGTGCATCAATTCTAACCGGGTGTGAACCGGATCGAGTTGGGCCATATAAAATATACATTTTTTAAGGTTTCGTGTTGAGTTCTCTTAAAGATAAAGAAATAATTAATTTTCCTTTGTTAAAATTGAATTGAACCGAATCACATGAAATATGGTTTCCATTTGAATCTAATCTAATCTAATCTAATCTTCATTTTCTTTTTCTAGTTTTATCTGATCACCTCCCAATTTGATTCGATTCTAGACCGTACATGACCACGACCACCCCATCACCAGCTACATTCTACTATTTGGAAATATCATTTAACTTAGTGTCATGCTTAGTACTGTTAGATGTTTATATCATCTTTCTTTCAACTTAGTGTTGTTCTTTTCTTTTTGAAATTAATTAGTAGCATCAAGTCGACAATAGAGAGGTACAAGAAGGCAAACTCAGACAGTACCCACACTGCCTCCGTAACTGAAATTAACGCTCAGGTAATTACAACTAATCTCTATTTTTTACTAGATTAACACGCGATTCAGATGATGAATAATGAATCTTACTATCAAAATTTGACGATAATGATTGTATTTAATAAAATCTAAAGAACCCGTTTCATTTCACAATGCTCTCAATATAGTTCATGGAATCTATCTTTCTTTCCAAGAAAACAAATCAATATCCACTGTTTTTCAAAGGTCTTTATTGAAAATGTTACGAAATATGATGGATGAGATTTAACTTTTGATAAATGTGTTGTCTTTGCAGTATTACCAGCAGGAGTCAGCAAAGCTGCGCCAACAAATTCAGGTGCTCCAGAATTCCAATAGGTGAATTCACTACCCATATTTTCTTCTTCTTCTTCTTCTTCTTCTTCTTCTTCTTCTTCTTTCCTAGCGGCGAGTTGAATTAATATTTAATCTTTTGGGTACCAAAGAAGAGAATCCATAAAAATGTGGGGTGTGTTTTGGAATGTTAAGCATGCTTTGCAGGCACCTCATGGGGGAATCCTTGGGCTCACTGTCTGTGAAGGAGCTGAAGCAACTCGAGAACCGGCTCGACCGTGGCATCAACCGAATCAGGTCCAAGAAGGTATAAATAAATAAATTATTCAAGTATTACATACTAGAAGTAAAATTTTGATAATCACTTTGGTTAATTAAACTATCATAATTAATATAATTGTGTTTATTATTGTGCCATTTTTAACAGCATGAGCTGCTTCTAGCTGAAATTGAGTATCTGCAGAAGAGGGTAACTAACAGCTATTATGAATATAATTATTATTTCTAGTAATTAATTACCATCTAAATTAAGTTCTACATACTAATATTGACTAATAGAATTAATAAATTTCTTGTGTGAAGGAGATTGAGCTGGAGAATGAAAGTGTTTGTCTTCGTACCAAGGTAATGTGCACATATAAATGCCACGGTCATTAATTATTATTGATATATGTATCAATCTTAAGTTAATAACAACTAATTAAAATCACGGTCAATAATATTTCGGGGTTGAGTACTAATGACAAAAAAATGATTACAGATAGCGGAGGTGGAGAGGGTTCATGAAGCAAACATGGTGAGCGGAGCCGAGATGAATGCAATCCACGCGCTGGCGGCTTCTCGCAACTTCTTCGCTCCACAGATGATGGATCCTCCGCCGCAGCAGCAGCCACAGGACCTTTTCGCTTCCTCTGGCGCCGGCAGCAGCAGCCACCACGGCCACCACCACCACCACGACGAGCCTCCAACTCCGGCAGACAAGGATTCCGACCACGGCCACCTCCACCTTGGCTGATAATGGTGTTCTCATGGTCAGCATGACGCATGCAAGCACATCCGCGAACATGCATTGCATGGAAATGATTATTAATATATAAGTCTGTGGTAATGTGGAAGAGATTCAAACAATAAGTGAGCTACGTAGATTGTGGTGTGTGTTTGTGTTAATGAATGAATACCCTAAGTGGTTAATTTGATGATGACTACTTTAATAGTGTTTTAATTTGTTGTTTGAAGAGGGCTTGTTATGGTGACACGGTTCATTAACATTATGCGTGTTTTAAGTCGTGTACACTACAAGAAACATAAGATTTTGCGACGGATGAATTCGTCACCAAAGTCCAGTTATCCGTCGCAAATGCAGTATCACAACATGTTCACGAAACTATTACTATTTGCGACGGAGAATAAATCCGTCGCAAATAATGCCCTTCCGCGACAAAATTGGTTCCCGTCGCTAAATTCTGTCGCTAAACCTGTCTTTTTGTAGTGGTACGAAAGTGAAATCTTTCGGGCTTTGGCTTATAGGAGGGCTTTGGCTTGCGACGAATTTGTGTGGTGGATTGTTACTCGAATTGATTAGTTGGTGGGTTTGAGAAACCAATTTTGAAAATCGATTTATCTGTTATCGAAATCGGATCAGACCAAATAAATCTTATGATCAATGACCAAATCAGTTCGATAAGTTAATTAATTAACAGCTGCCTACAAAAAACCGAGTGATTCATTGGAGGAGCGCCCGATTAACCATCCGAATCGCTCAAGCGATTGGTCCGTGCCCCGTTTCATCCAAATCCGAACTACTTCTTTCTTACACAGTCAAAGTAAAAATAGTAAGATCCAAATTTGATGTGTTCCACTCTTTAATTTCCTACACATCCATAGCCCTGAACCAAGTCCCTGAACCTGAGTTGTGAAGCCAACACAAAACTTACAAAAGAAAATTTCCCCAACACAAAACTCCGCCCCACAGACGAAAATGTGCACTGCTCCTCGCCAGTCTGAGTGCATCATTCAGAGGATTGCACACTTCGGCTGCTGCTTCTCAGACTGCTTCCGATCAGCTGCCTCCTTACGCAGCTCCTCGGCTACCTTCTCAGATCTCTCAAGCTTCTCTCGAAGCATACGAATCTCGTCCTTCAGAGCTTCCTCTGCCTTAAATCGCGCAGCCTGCTCCTCCTCCAGCCTCTCAGCCGTCACCTTCAGCTTCTCCTCAATCTAACATTTCACACACATCAAACAATTCGTGGTATGAAAAAATAGACACAAAGCAAAGACAATACATGATCAACAGGAATTAATATCGATTATCGAAGAACCATTTCAGTGATTCGCTTAAGCTGATCGTCGTATGACTTGATCATCTCCTCTTTCAGCTTAACCAGTTCCTCATTCGTGGCTGCACCGTTTGAATTCAGTGAATCCACTTGATGTTGCTTATCAAGCAGGACCATGTCACGTTTCTGCAGTATCATCAAAATTCATCGATACGATTTACTCGAGCAGACGAGTTGAGCTAAGTATCATCATCAGGGGCAGAGCTAATTAATATTTCGTATATCACCATCGACAAACCTGCATCTCGATGAAGACATCGTCTGTGTAGGGCCTCCCACCGTTCTCCACCACGACATTGTTCACTAGTGCCATGAGCTCCTTCACCTGTCCAGCTCTCTTCGCTTCATCCTTCGTGTTGTTATCGAACAACACCATCCGGTTGTGACAGAGTGAGAGTATTTCCTATGCATGAATGAGTTCAACAAGTGCAAAAATCAGTACTACAGAGAAGCAAAAAAACAACATTCCAAAAAAGCGAAAGTTTTGGCTGGGAATTAAGGAACCTTTAAAGGCTGAGGACAATTACGGCCCAGAAAATCGTCTAAAGTTCTGCCCTTCTTGAGCTCATCTCCACCGGTGAACAGAACAATCATGTACTCGACTATCTTCTTTCCGAACAGATGCTGCAGGTTGCGAATCGTCGCTGCTTCCTCCTCTGTAAACCGAGTCTTCACCGAGAGCACGAGGATGACCGCGTGGATCCCGTGTTTGGCTATGCTGATGCATTTGGCGAGCTCTTCCACGATTCGATCGCGTCCCAGGGAGACATCGAAAAGTCCTGCAGAAGAAGAAAAAAAACATCAGTTCCTGCAGAGGATCTGCAAAAAGCAGAGCTATATATGGAGGAATCAAGTGAATGTATCAACTAATTAAGCTTAGCTTCGTACCAGGAGTGTCAATGACATGGACTATCTGGCCATCTTCCGAAACAGCAATCTGCAGCTCGCAGCTAGTGGTGACGCCAGATGAACTGAGCTGCGAATCGAAGACCTCTTCCCCGAGAATCGTATTACCTGTTGCGCTTTTACCGTTACCAGTACGTCCAACTAGAACGATTGTTCGAGTGTCACTAGATGGTGAGGTGAGCTCCCACTCATCTTCTATGGAGCATCCTCCCATTTTTGGGGAAATTCTGAACATCCATAAACCACCACCATATATAAGAAGACTATGCAAACCCACAAAGGAACTATACCATTCAACACGCTAAACAAAAACACTCATCGAATAAGAAACGAATTTGAGGGTTTCTTACCACAACAATGGCGGGTGAGGGAGCTGGAGAGTCGGCGAGGAAACGGGTAGGCAAGTCAGAAGAGAAGCTGCCTCTCACCCTCTTAGTCTCTTGTTCTGTGAAAACAAAGGAAAAGGGTAGATGAAACGTCAGAGTAGAGAGAAGTTATTATACAGTTGGAATTGGACTCTGCTTGGACCAATATTTTTGCTTCGGCAGGGGCAGAGCATGATTTAGGATAAACACGAAGGCCCAAATAAGGTAATCTCTTGTGGATTTTTTTTTTTTTTTTTGTCATAGAGGTAATCTCTTGTGGATTAACATCTCGCAATTGTTGCTGATCTAGCAAGTTGAACGTTGAACTGATTGGCATCTCATTTTACACCGTGGTCATTCACTTTAGAAGCTAGCCGCCTCCACCTTGGCTGATGAATCATCATATCTTGTCATCACAGTCGGCATGAAAGTGAATATGATGTGAGAGATTAACTTTCATGAATTATACTTCATCTATAGACGATTTGATCTGGGTACATCAACATCTGCCACATACCACATCAAACCGCATATATGACATGCATACATAGCTCTGCTCAGCACTCAAAAGCCAGTAAGCCCCAGAAATTTGAAAGGTCATATTTACACCAGAACTAAAATCTCGACATCATCACATCATGAGCCCTCGACCAAAGTCCTGAGTCCGAATCCCGAGTCCAACAACTTTGAACGCAAAATGAGTATCTGCCAACACATTAGCCCGACAGAGCAAATGTGTACACTGCTCTTTAGTTCCATCAGAGGATTGTGCACACCTTCTCAGCCTTCTTGCGGAGCTCCTCGGTTTCCTTCTGAGCTCTCTCTAGATTCTCCCGGAGCTGGCGGATTTCATCGTTGGATTGCAACTGGGCCATCTGGGCGACCTCCTCTGCCCTCAGTCGTGCAGCTTGCTCCTCTGCCAGTTGCTGCTCCAGCCTGCTTGTCGTCTCCCGCAGCTTTTCCTCGACCTATTTCACACCATAGTGTTAAAGGGACAAATATAGGGCAAGGTTAATCTGCATAAACGGTCAACGACTTTCAGGGCCACGTCTTTCACTAGACTTTGGCCTTTGAACTAACAAAAGAAACAGCCACTCTGTCATTTCCAAGTTTCCGGGTCAACTCATGCAATTTAACTAAGACACAGAGATAGATGGCATGGTTGTTTATTTAGTTAGTCTACAGTTTAAAGTTCAGTGAACAGTTTGTTAGTGGCCTTATGAGTTCAATGGCCATTGATGTAATTTACCAGACCTAAGTATGAATTGAACAGGTGAAGAGAAGGAGAAGAACAGGGAAAGGGAGAGGGGAAAAGTACCATTTTAGTAATGCGTTTAAGCTGTTCATCATATGCTTTGTTCATTTCCGCTGTCAGATTAACCAGTTCCTGATCAGAGGCACCATTCAAGTTCTGGGCATTGACCTCATGTTTTTTATCACGCAGGATCTTTGCCTTCTGCAAATATCAATCATTCATTAACTTCAACATCACAGGGAATGAAGCAGCATCAAAGGACAATGCTGATGTTTCTTATCAAGAAAAAAGAAAGGGGACAAACCTGCATCTCGATGAAGATATCATCTGTGTAAGGTTTTCCATCATTCTGTGCTATGACACTGTCCACAAGTGTCATCAGCTGCTTAACCTGTTCAACTCTCTTCAGTTCATCTTTAGTCTTGTTATCAAAAAGCACAACTCGATTGTTACATAGTGACATGATTTCCTGCATGAGTTGAATAACTTATACAAATCATTATTTCATCTTCAGTGAAGCAAAACAGCTATGAACAAGTACTAAAAATCCTCCTTCATGGCTCCAACCCTCGAAGCCAGTAGAATTTTCAACCCAACCCCCAAAGATTCAGATGCAAACGCGCTGAATTCAATCAAAAAACAAAAAAAGTTAATCTTAACAGGCCCTACATGGCACTATAGAGAATCTTAGAGGACAACAGAAGGTGCAAGAAACCTGAAAGGAAAACACAAGCAGAAAGTCCTACTGAAATGGATTGAGATGTCATAAGAGGGTATTAACCTTCAAAGACTGAGGGCAATCACGACCCAGGTAATCGTCTAAAGTTTCATCATTTTCCTCGAGATCATCTCCACCAGTGAAGACTACAACCATGTAGTTGACTATCTTTGTCCCGAACAAAGACTGCAGGCTTCGAATTGCAGCTCCTTCCTCTTCCGAAAAGCGGTTCCTCACGGTCAATACAAGGATGACTGCATGAATTCCATCTTTTGCCATATTGATGCATTTGACTATTTCTTTGCCAATAAAATCAGATCCAATGGAAGCATCAAAAAGTCCTGGCAAAAATTACAAGTCAAATTTCTAGCTCTACAAAAAGAAGGCAGCAAGCATATAAATTGGACATTGGGACCGTGTTGAACACAAAATACTGGAGGCTAACAATTGTGACTTCATACCAGGAGTATCAATAACACTGACAATTTGACCATGTCCCAAGACAGTTGTCTGCAATTCACAGCTGCTTGTAACACCAGACGAACTAGTCCTAGACTTGAAGACTCTTTCTCCAAGAATGGTGTTTCCTGTTGCACTCTTCCCATTGCCAGTTTTTCCAACTAACACGATCGTTCGAGGCTCACTAGATGGCATGGTTAACTCCCACTCATCTTCTATTGCAGACCCTCCCATTCTAAGCAAATCTGATGATCCTTCCTTTCTAGAAATTCAAATCATCCATCAAAAGATATATCAGAATAACACAGTAAAAAGGGGCAGGAAAATATGCACTTCACCACAACTATTATAACAAACACTCATAATCTTTTGCTTTGACAATGCAGAATGAAACAACCACAGAGACCCAGTAAACCTTCATCATCAGCAACACAGAAATCAATCATCCCGCGTTCAGTCCGAAACTATGCCAACCAACATTCAATACTCAAAAGGGAAAACTGGCAAAGCTTCCCCGGTTCTATTTAGCCTACAGAAACCACCATTCTACCTAGAACGTAAACAAAGAGGAACGATTGTCCATCGATTTTTACGAAGAAAACCACTAAGAAACTAACATCCAACACGCCAAAACCTTCGATCTGTGACCGATTCTCAAGAACAGTAACAAGGGGAAAGAGAGAGGAAAGGTAAGTGAAAAACCCTGGTCCCAGCTAGCTAACAGAATCGATCAATCGTTCAGCCAAACGCTATACTAAGGAAACCCAGAAGCGACAAAGCCAAATCGAACAAGAAACATAGACAATCATCGCATGAAACCCCATCAGAAACTTTCCCAGTATTTACCGCGCAAATTTAGGAAGAGAACTCGAGAGTCGGCGTAAAGAGCTGGTAAGAAATTCAGAAGAAGAGATGCTGCTTCTCACCTCTAGTTTTTCCCCGGTGAACTTGATTGGAGGCGGCGAACTTTCCGGGAAAGATTAACCTAGACTGAACGGAACGTTCGGGCGTGGCGGAAACTTGGACTCTGCTTTGACCAATATATATTTGCTTGCTTGGCGGGGAAGACTACTAGACTAGCAGCAGCTGATAATTGGTACCGGATCAGGGTAAAATACATTTAAGTCCCTTAACTTTATGTAAATTTCCACATAGACTCCTAAATTTGGTAATTCGCTGATTCTTTTGTGCAAGTTTAAAAGATGAAATTAAATAAGTCTTTAGATACAATATGTGAGTTAATAATTACTTTAGACCTAATATGTTTTTTCCTTGCAGGACAAAATAATTCGTATAGTTAAAGATTATAAGATTTATTAAACGTCCCTGAAGGACAAAATTATAAGATTTAGAATAATTTTTTTTAATATTTTTCTTTTTGTGTATGCCTCTTATTTTTAATCCAGAAATTGATGAACTTGGTAGATTTATAATTAAAGGTTGTTTCACAAAAGTATTTATCTATTAACCTTGCCAGAAGCTAACCCTTCAGCCATGTTGAGAGAATGCATTTTCCAGCAGCATATGGTTAGAGCCTGCTATAACAAAAACCCAGACACAAATGCTCTAACAACCGACCAATGTTTGCATTCTGAATAGAGAAACACTTGTTAAAAGCTTGAAACATTTACATGAAGCTAGTAAACAGGCATCATTTATCATCCGAAACCTAAAAAAATCCGCAAAATAAACCTCCAGTAAGAAAACTCTGTACATCCTCAAACCAGTAAACTGGTCGATCTCTCTCTCTCAAGTCACAGCATTGCCTCTCAAACCCCCGGATTCGCATTGCTACTCAGCTTCCCTTGCAGCTTCCTCACACTCTCCCTAATCCACAACACCGCCGAATGCTTCTCAGCCTGATGCAACAGCTCCACAGTCTCCTTCTCAGCCTTCTCCAAACTCCTATGGAGCCACAGAACAGCAGAATGGGACTCGGCCCTCTTCAGAATCTCCCCTGTCCCCATCTGGGCCCTCACGAGACTTCGTTTCAACCACAGGATCGCAGTTTCCCTCTCTGCCTGCTCGCGGAGCCTCTCGGTCTCCGCTCGGGCACTCTCGAGGTTCTCTCTCAGCTGGCGGATCTCGTTGCTCGACTGCAAGTGAGTCAGCTGTGCGAACTCCTCTGCCTTGAGACGTGCGGCTTGCTCCTTCGCCAGCTGCTGCTCGAGTTTGACTGTTGTCTCATGAAGCTTCGACTCGACCATCTCAGTTATGTGTTTGAGCTGTTCTTGGTACAGATCATGCATCAGCTGTTTCAGACCGGCTATTTCCTGAGAAGAGTGGTGCTGAACTTGAAGGGCCTCAATCTCAGCTTGCTTGTTACGAATGATCTTAGTATGTTTCTGCAAAACGTCGATCAAGTAAATCCAAATTAGCATAAAGTCAAATTTGTGGACTGGAATCATTAGATGTAAAACACATCACAGTATTGAACGTACTTAATTACATCCAATAGCTCGATGAGTAATCTGTATCTAGAAAAGCTCATAATATACCTAAGACAGCTTCTAGACAAACTAAGGTAAGAGACCAATCATTACAAGAATAGAGCACATTAAAAATCCTTCTAAAACATTAAGGCATGGCCAAGCTAGTCGGAAAAGGACATCCTTTTCACAAAATAATCATAAGGAGAGTGAGCTAAGCTAAACAACCTCCATCCCAGGTTGTTTGATTTCACTGACCTCATACAGTCTGATTGCAATTTACCCGCTTTTATGGTATGCCATTAAGTTACCATTATTGATATCTTATTACTCACCTGCATTTCGACGAATATGTCATCCGTGTATGGTCGTCCACCATTCTGCATCACAACATTGTTAACCAGGGCAAGAAGCTCCTCGACCTGTCCAGCTCTCTTGAACTCGTCTTTAGTCTTGTTATCAAACAGAACCTTCCGATTCTTACACAGTGACAGAATTTCCTGCATGAGATCAACAACTAATCAGAACCATTTACAGCAAGATCACACAAAGGACTTTAAAGACACGAGAAAAGTTTTGAATTAACCTTTAGAGGTCGAGGACAATCATCACCCAAATAACCCTCTAGAGTCTCATCATTATCTTCAAGTTCATCTCCACCAGTGAACAATACAACCATGTAGTCGATGATCTTCTTTCCAAACAACGACTGTAAGTTACGAATGGTAGCCTCTTCTTCCTCGGTAAACCGATTCCTCACAGAGAACACAAGGACCACAGCATGGATCCCATTCTTAGCCATGTTGATGCACTTGGCAATCTCCTTGTGCGCAAAGTCAGCCCCCACAGAGAAATCAAAAAGCCCTGGAGAAAGAAATCAACTTGTCTTAAAAGGAGTAGATAAAGGAATAAGATTGAAAAAGCAAAAACTTCTACATAGATTCTCATATACCAGGAGTATCGATGACGTTGAGGATCTGACCATCTCCCAACAGAGTCGACTGCAACTCACAGGAACGCGTAACCCCAGATGAACTATTCTTGGACTGGAAAGCTTTCCTCTTTAGAATGCTATTACCTGTTGCACTCTTCCCATTACCAGTGCGTCCAACTAGAACGATCGACCAAGGGTCTTCGGTAGAAGGTGAAGCGAACTCCCAGTCATCATCGATTGCAATTCCTCCCATTCTAGCAACAGTTGCAGAACACCTGTCAAAAGATCAATTTTCATTGACATAAGACATTAGCTGTCATAATCTAATGCACCACCACCAGTAAGAACTGAAACAAAGCTCCTTGGTTACTGCAGCTGATAAGCGTAGGGTATTGAACAGCCAGGGCATCAGTTAATCCCTTCTAGTTCTAATTTTGAACCAAAACCCTTCCCAAATTTGAAGGCATACACAATAAAGCAGCAGGAGTGCAGTACATACAAGTTTTGAGCAATAGTAGTGAAAACAGTCAAGTCGCAAAGTATACCAGTGTAAAGCCAGCGATTAAGCATATCAAACTCCAATTTAAAGATTACCCATCACGGATCTACCGCAAAAAAAACACGCTCACAATATCAAAGTCACAAATCCCAGATGAAGAGAGAGAACAAGCAAACAAACCCAACAAGGTAGAGATTGTAAGTCAGAAACCCAGAAACTGGAATTCAGAGAAAACCCCTAAAGGCGTCGCCTTTGTTAGAATTCAGAAAAGCTTACTCGATCGCTCTTTGCTGTCTCCGTTGGGTAAACTAAACTCCTCGAAGGGGGAAAAGAGCAGAAGAAGGGTAGGTCAGGTCGGCTTTAATATTAAAAGAGTGGTAGAGGGCGCTACGGAATCGGCTTGGCGAATTGTGCGCCGGAAGAAATCTTCTTTGGCGCGCCAGCGGCGCGGGAATATGATCGAAGGAGTTGTTTGTTTGTTCCGAAAATACTGTGGGCAAGTTAGCACTTTTTCATTATATCCTTGTACTTGTACCATAATTTTCCCTCTCTATTTTTCGGAGGGAAAATTACAGGGGAAAGAGGAGGAGGAGGAGGAGGAGGAGAATTTCCCTTTGTTATTGTTGTCATTTTCAGATATTCTAAAACTGGGGATCGACAATGGAGCTTGTAATAACAGACAAAAGCTTTGGTTTCTTTCTTCCTCGTGTATGCATTGACTGATGCATCTCTGAATGGAAAGCTATACTCCATTTCCGCCATTGAAGCATTGCTAGTTTTGATATTGCTTCAGGCTAATCACAGAAAACGAAACTGTAACAGGGAACAACCTGCTGAAAGTGCATTCTTCCGATATAGGGCAGCATCTCAAGTTTTGGAGTAAGGAGGAGAAACACTCCCTAATCTAATATCTACTAGAAATTTATGACTTTCAGTGGTCATCTCTTGAACCAATTAAAACCATTGACATGTCACTAGTTTTCCTTTCCTTTCCTATATCCATAATTTTGATGACAAATAAAACAATCCAAAGGAGTATATGTATAATGAGGTAGAAGAACTGTGTACAATCTACAAAGAACTGTCTACTTTTAAGTTAACCTGAGGTCCTTCTTTCCTTTTTACCAGCAGTACTACTCAATCTGAGCAATCTCAACCAATATCTTGTGCAGAGACTGAGGCTTGGAAAAGAATGGGCAATGATCGCTCCCTTTGATCTTGAACACTCCTTCTGGCGGGTTTTCCCCCACCAGCTTCTCCTGAACGTCCGGTGAGAGAGCACGATCATCAAGCGTCTGAACATAGAAACGTCGAGAAGCACCATATTTCTCCGGTGTTAGTGACAGCTTCTCCATTATTGGACCTAGGGGCGTGGGTCTCATGGAAACCATCGCAAGAGCAATATCCTGCCAGAAGAACTCCATGGTTATGTTTTGCTGATAGTATTTGAGCATCTGATGAAATTATTGACGTCATTAAATGATAATAAAATCATACCTTCGTTGGTGATTGATTGAAGTATAGACCTTTCATCAGCTGCTTTTCAAACATGAAGCCAGTGGGAGGATGGTCCTTTCCATTCCCATGAATCAGAAACGGCGACTCCTGCATGAAGCGATCAGCAGAACCGAGCTGCAAAGGGAGAACTTCAGTCATTATCGTTTATCAAGACTTTGGCTATTGAAAGGCATAGAGAAAAAATAAGCACTAGTATAGAGATTGCAAAGAATAAAACTCGAGAAGCAAAAAAATGAACGAAGAAAATGAGGGTTTAACTACTAATGCATATGCATAAAGGATGCCATTGATGAAGTGATTTGCCATAAAGCTCACAGTGACGAATTACCTTAACATTCTAAGGGGTCATTAGAATGAAGGATTCCTAAAGTAGATGGGCTGTTGGAATGGATGAGTTTCAAATAGATAGGTTTGGATGAGTGATCTGTAGAAGTGGATTGCTAACACAAGGGAGATTTCACAATTTCCACAACTTTTTGCACACCCAAACGGATGCTTTTGACCAGTTCCTCACAGGAAGATAGGGGCACACTATCATTCACCTTAATCTATCATCAAATTGACCTCTTATATCAATGATCTCTAATGTTTATACAAAGGATGCCAACATTTCAAGCTTCAAATTTCAATTATCTTACCTCTGCAGCAAACACATCAAATGGTCTCTGACCATCAGACACCATTGTAGCACAGACAAAGATAGCTTTGGATATCTTTTCGGGGAAAAGCTCCAATGCATGAGAGACGCATGCACCTCCAGTACTGTGAGCAACCAAAATAACCTGCAGGTAAAAGATTCCGGCTTTCAAAAATCTGCAGAACTCAAAACATCTCAATGGTTCTATAAACTAGACAAAATGCTGATATGAGCTAACCTTTTCATCTTCCGGAAGGTTTTCCAAATAGCTGATCAATGGTTTCGAGTACTCTGCTAATGTCTTAATGCAAATTGTATCTGTGGTATCAATACCAGATCCTGCTAGATCTAAGGCAACTGGAACAAGACCTACTTCCTCCAATTGAGCAATGGTTTTATACCAACACCAGGCGCCAAAACCTTCTCCGTGTATCAGAACAAACTTCTTTATCTTGATATTTTCCAGGTTCTCGGGCACCTTATCCTTCACAAAATGAAAAGCATAATCTCAGACAAAAAAGAACTTGCAACTGATGAACAGAAGTAGTTAGGGAAACATGCAAAACAAAGATTAATCCCATAAACAGAACAATATCAGCAAGTTCCACGAATCATTTCATTCTCATACATACTTTTTCATTTATATATTTAAAACTACCCTAGTTGATATATATAAACCTGAAACATTCTACATCAAGGTCAACAGATCGACAATCATTTCTGCATAAGATTCTAACAGTATCTCCAAAAGGCTGTTGGGGCTCTCAACCATCCACCTAACAGATATATGCTTTTCCCTATATGCCCAACTCCAAATGTTCATAACAAAACAAAAGGGATAATCACCATCGTTCACATATGACCTTTTTCAATGTCTATGTATCTTCTGAACATAAGAATGTGCTCAGAAGTGAAGATTCCCCCAGGAGTGCCACAGAAAATAATCAATGTAATCATTAGAAAGTTGGGAAGAAAAAGGAGAAAGTTCACCACCATGAAAAAAGCAAACAAAGAGCTTAAACGCACCAAGACCTAGATCCACCACTTTATGGCTTCTTCAACATTAATCTATGATTACCACATCCAAAAAGTGCAACTTCTTTCAAACACCCACAATAAATTCTTCAAATTTTTCCCTCTAAAGTTGGAATCTTTACATTAAGATTGGAGAACCATCAGCTATTGCCTATTGTTGAACAAACTAAATCCTACTGTACCTCTTCACTTGCTCTCAAGACCATTCCTTTACTCTCCACTCTTAAGAATCAACCACTTCCACTTTCCTTCCACCTAATTATCCATGTGAATCTTCAAAAATTAACCAATTGAACAGAAAGAAATCCTCTCCCCTTCCCCCCATTCAGTCCCCAAAACAGTGACTTCACAATAAGCAGATCCCCAATCATAAAAAAAGCTAGAAAGTTTCCAACTTCACGAGGAAAGCAACAGATAAAGCAAGACAGTTCGATTAAAGAGCAAGGCAAAAGGGTATAAATTAAATTCCAACTCCCACAAACCTGATTCCCCCCATTGGCCAAAGCATCAGCATCAGGCAGATTTTTCCTGCGGGAGCTAGTGGACCCGATCCTTCTTGACATGGATCCATTGTCGAATCGCTGAGACAACTGGTGCTGGTGAAGCGCCATGGACAGAGCTTGCCTGTGGATCAACTCTTCTTCAGCCAATAACTTCCTCTGCGACCTGTTCACGCCCATCCTCCTGCTGCTCTTCGATCCATTGTTACCTTTGCTTCCACCGTCCTTCTTCGCCATGCAAATCAGGTTACCCATTTCAGCAAACTCCTTTCTCTACAGAACCCAGGAAAAAAAATCTTTCCTTTGATCCTTGGAACTGATTGAGGGGGGAAAGTGAGCGATTAGGTGGAAAAGAGATGGAGAGAGGAGCGGTAGTAGAAGAAGAATAAGGGAAGTGGGAGCAGGTTTGTTTTTCTTTTTGGCTCCGTCGTCAGCTATAAATGCCAAGAACAAAATTTAGGAGCTGGAATGGAAGGGAAGTAAAAGGAGAAAGGAAAATGGGGAAATGATTTTCTCTTCTTTTTCCACGATCGTAGCCAGAAAATTTTGCAGCTAGTGATAATTAATGCCGTTGTTTTTGGGTGTTTATACGCTGCTGTTGTTTCTCTTTCACCTTTTAATCGTTTCATTTTTGTCAAATGAAAGTCTTTTCTCTAGTCTCTTTCATTTTTCGTCTCTTCCTCCCAAGTCCAACGGATGGAACATGGGAACTTGAAAAGAAGATAGAGTACAACTCAACTCCTATGGCACATTGACAAATGAGTTCATTTTGTAGAAGATAAAAAGACGTGGTGCATGATGAGAGAAGGAGGGGGAGAATATGAGATAACCAAAAACTAGTTTGTGAATGATGAAAAAGACCTGTCTTTACAAGCGCTCTCTACACATGTCTTCTTGCAATCTCGTTAGGTTTGTATGGATGAAAGTGAGGAAGACTACTAACGATGGTTGGATCATGCATAAATCAGGTTCGACTTGCTAAAATGAAGGTGGAATCTTGTGAAAATTACTTGCTCCAAAGTGAATGACCTCATAGGGCACTTTTTTAATTCTGAGTGTTTGCTCCATCGTCAATTTATGAGCATTGTTGATGGATGTTAAGTAACTTGAAATGTGACTTCTTATGCAACTTGATTATCGTTGTACAATTCAGTAGCTGTGAGAACCAACACTTGTATAGTCAATTAGTCATCAATTAACGTTTCAGCCCGATGATAGAAATAAAATGAGAAGTAACTATATCAGAGAGTGATGACAGTCAACAACATATTTTGTCAATATGAATTATGTTTATGGATTTAACGTATTTCTCTCATTCTGATTTTATGTTATGATGTCTTACCGCGTTATGTGTGAAACTAATGCATAAAACGGTCCAAAGTATTGATAAAAAGAAAATAATCCATTCTCATAGATGGTAGATACTAGATAGGTAATTTCCCCTCAATTATGGCGGGTAAGACGAAGGAATGTGCCAAAGAGAAGAAAAATTAGTGGGGAAAAGTACAAGAGAAGGGAATTACTCTATATTGAATTTTGTGTAGGACAATTATAGAATGGATTATGGATAAAAACAATTAAACAATACGAGAATCAAACATGATAGTTTGAAGAAAACCATACAAAGACAACAACCTATATAAATAAAATAAACTCAGGATAGGAGCATAACTTCATGTCAAGTAATCTCTAAATAATATAAAGAGCTTTCTCTGGGAACTCTTCCCCGCAACTTTCGGGGTACTTTGTTATATTTTATAATTTTTTTTTAATTTCCAGTCTTAAATTAAACCTTCAAACTTTGAAGTTCAAAGCCGCCCAAGAGGTCCACGTCACCTTCATATTTGCCCTTTTACATATCTCTCCTCATGTTTTCTATCCCATCGGCCAATGATTCCAAAGCGGAAACTGATCCTCTTCCTCTTCTCCGCCACAACGCGCCGCATCCCGTGTCTAATTCTATTTCCTCTCATGGTCAACCATTTCCTCATAACTCTCGTGTGTTCTTCAACGGCCTCAAATCCGCAAAGTTCTCTGGCGGCAGTGTTATTTCATACCATCAATGGTTCAATCCAACCCACATCCCGCCAGAGTGGGTCTACCAGGTAATTTTATATCACATACAGATATTTGCTCCAATTTGTTTAACCGATTGTTTTGATACGTCGTTTCCGTTCCTTTCTTCAAACCCTATTTCTCTTCACTACTCCAATTGCATGCTCCCTTCGGTTTGTCCACCGCAATTTTTACTGCGCCCTTCCCAGTGTTTCATGTTCCACAAGATGTTCAACGACACCGAGGCTCGGTAATTCCTGAAAAATCGGCTTTGTAAAGAGTGCGTGAGACATACTTCCGGTGATGGGCATATTCGCATGCAGCCGTTGACTCCAGCCGCCTAGGTAAAAAACAACTACTTTTTATGGCATACAAATTATAGTGTTTATGATTTATAATGTCAATTTTATGTTTCTCGGTTCTACTACAAATAATTAGTCCTACTGAATTCAGAAAAGTTTGACGCTCTTATGCATGAACCCAGTATTCATTGTTCTTCTCTTACTAATTGATTTCCCTTAACTGTTTTCAGACTTTGTATTTCCTACTATACATGAGTTTCTCTCTACAGAAATATATGGGTCATTTTAAGAATTGATTTTGAGCGCTTCTGTCAATGCGGGTGGTTTTTTTAGATGGGATCAAAATTATAATTTAGGGAGATTAGCATTTCAATAATGTTAAGAAGGAATATGTGTACACTACATCATTACTTTCGCATATAATCAAAAGTGAATATATAGGGTAAGATATTGTAAATTTTAGGGGTTATAGGTATAATATGCCCCTCTATTATGTAATTTTATCAAACATGCCCCTCTACTATTTTTTACATCAAACATGCTCTTATGCTTTGTAAAAATGATCAAACATGCCCTTTTGTTAAAATTTGCATCCAAAAACCATCAATCATGGTCGAACATTGGTTTGGGCAACACCTTTATCTAAAATATTCCTAATAATTTCACTTTAGAATTTTTTTTCCTTTTGTATAGCCAAATAACTCTAATAATTTCACTTTAACTAGACCTTGAGAAATAAACGAGGAAGAAAAACTGACATTTCAACCCCAATTTTTCCGATGTCGGGCCGTGTGCATCTCGGTTCAACTATGGTTTACCATTTTTTAATGAAATTTTTTCTGTAAGGGCATGTTTGATAATTTTTTCAAAGTATAGGAGCATGTTTGATGTAAAAAATAGTAGAAAGACATGTTTGATAAAACTGCATAAAAGAGGGCATATTATACCTATAACTCTAAATTTTAGTCATAATAAGAATAAATTATCAAAGAATTATAAACCTACATGACATGAGTTACGATTTGAAAATTAAATTACTATAAGTGAGTACTTTCATGGATTAAAAGTTTGAATGTTTTATTTTTAAAACATATATATGTTGCTTAGTTAGAGATTAAATTACTGATCAAGTATTAAGCACTTGATTGAAAATTTCATTTATACTGAGTTAATGTATATACATTTGCATAGGCAATCACATTTTTGTATAATCATTTACAACAATGTAGAAAATTTCAAAGATTCCACAATAGTTATGTAAGAAAATAAATTCATCATGTTAAATGATCCCGGCCAATAGGCCGGGAACAAAGCTAGTGTATCATAATACAGGTCTGTCTTGTAGCACAGCTGGACACAGATTGCGGATACTTAGCAGAATTACAGGTATTATGATGATGAACTGTCATTTGACCAGAATATGTGAAAGGTATGTTTCTAAGGTGTTTGCCAGGTAATGGTTTAAGAATATAGTATATGATCTAATTTCCAACATTTATCAATAAAATCATACAACACTACAACAGCTAATCAGTGATATTCCAGTTGGAAGCCTGAACAAAATGAGTGACAGGAGAAAGAGCATACACGAACCATCTCTTACTGAGAAGAGTTTAGATTGTTAGATGAAGGAGTAATACACAGGCAAGAGAGCCGGGGGGAACTACTAATGCTGTACAGTAAACTGCATAAAGGTAAAGTCCATGAACAGCAATCAACACAACCAACACGCATAACATCCAGCCATATCTAAGGTGGTTCTCAAGCAACTCTCCTCCCCTACTTTGCTTTGTGTCGATCCTAAGCGACTAAGCCTATTCGGTTCAACTCCAGACCAAACCAAACCAGTATAATATCTGGATCATTCATGGCTCTCCAACTCTCATTGAGCGTGGTCATAGCAAGTGACATGTACCCTTCCCAAAATGAAATCTGGGGTTGCTCATGGTCATGGAGCTAAAGCAAAAGCCAAGGAAGGAGAAATGGAACCAACAAGAATCGGATCTCAATCCGTCACTAGAAGAAGATGACATTTTAAAACTCTGCTCAGAAAGCATGGAGTTGAAAGTTGATAGCAGTATTTTGGATTGTCCTCCTCTTTGAGAGCACAAATGAACTACTTGCATGAAAATTACAAATGGATGAACAGAGGGAAATACTGGAAGATATCAGGGAACTTGTCAACGGACTTTGCGAGCTTTCTCTTCTTGGCCTAACCCAAGTGACTTCTGCGCATTTGCAATACCTTCAGGGTCTGCAAATTACAACAAGACGTTTCACCTTAATGATCATCATTACCAAACTCTTACAGAAACTAAGATATGTCTATACTGGAAAACCAAAAAGCATCGATGAGATTGACTGATCATCATTTCATCCAAAACCAGTTCATGTTGATCACCATTAGTGGACAATGAAGTACCCTAAGTTAAAATCCAACAAGCAACTCTTTCAATCGCACAAACAGTAGCAAAGGTGCTGTCTTTCACCAAAATTATCCCCCAACTAGTTGAGAGTGGTCGTAAATCAAAGCTTAATCTCAGAATCAGGGCTTAGTTCGATCTTATCATTAATCCAGTACCAATTTTCAAGACGTTACTGGTGTTGCCAGGCAAGTAATCCATGGTCAATTGGTAATATGAAACCAAGACTTACCAAAGAACTGAGTGAAGATGCGAGTGAAGAAGCTCAAGTTACGAGAGACATTGTAAGCCATCGCAGGTGGGAGTGGCTTCACTATTGTATCAATGCTAAATACTCTCTGAAGGAACTGCAAAACCACACACACATGGACATACATAGCTAAGCTGCAGACTAATGCCAGTTCTCATCATAATTAGAAGCTCACGAATTGAATTAAGCAACAGAAATGCAGAAGACCTAGAAGTTTCCCCTGAAACGAATCAAACCCACAGAAATGCAGAAAAGCAGCAAGCTTTCCGCAATTGAGCAGCTACCCAGTAACACCCAGTTAGGAATTCCGACTTCACACTTCCAATCCGAATAAAATCGAACCCAGAAACTACACACTAACACAGAAAGTGCTCAAAATCGAGCTGAAGCAATTGCAAGGGCGGAATTTCCAATTAAGGACCTGGTAATTGCGGTGGAAGCTGTAACGAAGCTCCGGGTCAATTTCGAGCTGGTCGTCGTCTTCGTCGTAGTCGGAGGGGCGGCCTTTCTTCTTGCTAGGGAGGTGCATTTTGGCGTCGGAACCAGGTTGCTTTGTGACTTTGAGCTTAGCGTCTTTGAACTTGTCGGCCTCGCCGTCGTCTTCGTCTCCTCTCCACGGCGCTTTCGACAGCAGCTCTTTCTTTCCCTTCGCCATCTTTTTCCCCCCTGAAATTCGCGGCTGACGAAGTGGGTGTTCTTTTTTCCCCTCTGAGTCGTCTGTTCTGGACCAGAACTGCAGCGAGATAACGAGACGAAGCAGAGGTGATGATAACAGGGGGGTTAATTATAGAAATGGTCACAATACTTTGTATACACTACAATTCTACACCTGAAATTTGAGACATAACAAATGTTACATTGGACGCTAAATTGCTCTAGATTTTAGGTGAGTGTAAATTGCAAGTTTGGACAATGTAATATCTTCATAATATTTCAACTATATATTGCACTCTAAAAAAATATATCACTACTACTCGTTTAAAATATTATATTATATTCTCGCTAACACATGAAGCGGTAGTGAGGGCTTATACTAGTGTAACTTATATATGATTGATCCGATTCTTCATTACTAAACACAATTCAAATTCATGTTACCCAAAACGACTTCAATCTCTTCCTCTCTTTGCATAATATCTAATTATAGGGTTTATATATGAGCCCTTTTGAATTTATATTTGGGCGAGATAACATGGTGACGACATATTTATGTTCTCATGATGTTTTGATTATGATAAGATAAAGTATCAGTGTCCAACTCGATGAAAGGTTTTGTATTTCGCATATCTTATCGACGAGGTTGTTGACATCCCTTTTCAGGTTTGGGAAGAGAATAGTAATGAACTGATAATGAGAAATGTAATATAGTTCTGTATTTTGTCTCGAGAATTTTATAGATACTGAAGAGAAATAGATCAAATTAAAACATGGACTGGACTATTATCTCTTTAAAAGAACAAGTTACAACTTTACTGTTTCTTAGAGTCACATCCAAACACTGTGACTTAGTTTGCTTTTTGGTTCTCCTGATCAGTTCTCCGTTGCCTTCTGTGACTTGGTTTGCTTTTTGGTTCTCCTCATCATTTCTTGGTTCGCTTTTCTCTTAGATGGCGATTGATTTCCTTTTTGTGCCGTCGTTCCGTTCCCTTCTCTTTGCTTTTCGGTTCTCGATCTCTGGCCCCCTCTGCTTTGGGTTTTTCGAGAATGAACCTTTTGCCCCTCTTGGCCTTTCCATATCTTGCCATTGCTTTTACTGCACCTGTGCTTGTCGTTCCCTTTCTTTGTGCACTGCCCCTTCTCTTTCACCCACTCTCCTCTCTCTCTTGAAAAGAAGAAAATGGACAGAAAGAAAACCCTCCTGAAACGTGAGAAGGAGGAAGAGGAAGGAAGATCTGATCAAGAAGACGACAGGGAAGGAAGGATCTAGCCGGCCCGCATGACGGAGAGACGTGAATGGCGATGGCGGCGACGGGAAGGCCAGCGGCCAGCTACGGTCCCGACTCCCAGCGATGTCGAGGAGTAGAGAAGACATGATTGCTTGTCTGTTGCCCAACGGGATCCTCGATCGTAACGAGGGAAGGGGAAAAATACAAGGAAGAACCATGGCCTGTCGCCGCCAAAGGGCCATCAACGGAGGGGAAGGAAGTGAGATCTCCAACGGGAACTTCGTCGGCGATTTCACGCCCGAAGACTGAGCTTTGCCAGCGATTGCCATCTATCAACGGACGTGTAAGTGGGGTTTTTTGTGGATTTGTTTTCCTTTTCGTTGTTGGTGTGTTTGCCTTTTTCTTTCAATGATTTCCTGCAAATCTGCCTTTTGTTTTGGGTTTTCGCCTAGGGAAGAGCTGTCGCCGGAGGAGATTTCTAAAGGCAGCTGAGGCGACGAGAAATAATCGTTGCTCTCTAGGTAAGTTCCTTCTTTTTGGGTTTTCGTTTTGTTTGCATTTTGGGGTGGCCTTTCTCTCATCTGGTTCTATTGATTTTTTTTTCATTTCAGGCATAGGAAGAGGAAGAAGAAGTCGGCATCGCCAGTCCTGACCCAGACGACAGCTGCGACATAGTTGGCTGGCCAGGCAGAGAAAATTTGTGGGTTATTTTTAAATTTACTGGATATTTGGTGATTCAGTTTGCCCTTGAATGAATTTTGATTTTTAATTCAATATTTGGAAAATAGGAGGCGAATAATCTATTAAGCACTTGGAGCTTTGAAGGTAGATGAATTGAAATCTTAAGCTGTAGTGATACTTTGGAATCTTTTATGGTTGTTCCAATCATTAGAGTAGTTTGCAGAGTTGATTTGTTTTCGAGATGAACAATTGCTTTTGGATGGTTTATGAAGTTTGTTTTGGTTCTCTGGATAATTGAGTTTTTAAATCAAATTTAGGTTTTTATTTTTGGAATTAGTTATTATGCGGTTTAGAAATTACTCACCTTTGTGATGCTTAGGTTGTGCTTTGTGGAAGGGCTGCCATGAGAGGAGAAGGTGCATGAGCTCTGTTTGATTGCTTTTCATGAACTCGAAGATGCGACAATTGACTATTTGGGCTAGAGTGAAAGGGAGGACTGCTTGAAACAATCTGGGTAGATTCACCTTCATGTCAATCATTTTTATGTATTGCATCTGAGGTTTTTGTGTTTCTGTCGACAGTAATATAGCAGTTATTTCTCCTTGCATGGCCTTACAAGGGTATCAGAGTCAATGTTGGAATTGTGTCTCAATCTGTTGTTTCTATTTAGTTGGTTGGATATAGGAAACTGCAGTTGCTCTGCATTATTCTCATAATTTGTCAAAATGATATCTGCAGTTTCATACACTGTCCTCCTTCAGGTTGATTTCCAGTTCCTTTACTTCATCTTGCATAGCCACAGTCATCTTGGGTAAGAGATGTGAAGCGTGGATCTTAACTAGATGGTCTTCTAGCTTCAGTTTGTTGTAGGTTGTGTGTCCTCTCCTCGATCCTTATTTGCCTGCATACGGTTTTGATTCACGCTAAATGATTGTGTTTTTTTCATGTTGTTTGCAGGTAGGCAGTTGAGGAGTTATGGGCTGAACTGTAGTCATCTTACTCTGGATCCAACGTATGAATTGGTGAGATTTCTAGCATGCAAACAATCTCAATTACTTAGCATTCTATAATTGTATAGAAATAGAAGTTTGATGCGTATTCTTGGAATATCAGGGTAGAAGAAAAAGGAACATCCTGAAATTAAAAATGATCTTTCATGTCAATTGCTCCCCAACCCGCAGTTTCTTTCAGCCGATATTGGTGTTTATGTGCTTTCTAACCAATTAATATGTGTATATGCTAAGCTACGACAACATGTATAAGACCAATTTTCTTACTAGGGTTGTGTGTATAATAATAGCAGACTGTTGATCAGTTCCCTTTACTTGCAGAATGTTGCTTTCTTTAAATTGCATTGTATGATATGATCCTTTTTATACTTATAACTTCAGTCTCATGGTAGTTGCCTCCCAGAACCATGATCCGGAGGAGCCATAGGTAAATGAGAAATAGGCTCGGAGACGGCAGTATCATCCAGTGGAGAACAAAATGATAGGAACCTCGAGGAGTTACTAAGAGCAGGTGCATCATTTTTTCCATTTGGTTTCCTTAGTCTTTTTCAGGAGTTCTGGATTTCATTAATGGTAAGATTCTTTATGAATCATCTCGAGTTGTGGTCAACTACTCATTTGTATTGGTGCTCAAGGATTACCTCTTTATCAGCTTTTTAAACATGGAAGGACCATTCCAGAAAAGAACTTCTGCATAACATAATGGTAAGTGTTGAACTTCACTGGTTTATTGATTTGTTTGCAGTGCTTCTGTTCTGTGTATGCCTCTTTCGACCAGTACTACACTCTGTTGATTCCATCACTCATGAAAAATCCTTTTCCTTTCAGGAAGGAAGAGCATTCGTTGAACAAAGACGGAAAGTGAGCTTCTGTTTTTCCCAGCTGTCACCAAACATGTCACCGTTTCAAGTGGGAAGTGCAGTTGTGGATTCGATAATAAAGACTAGAGCAATGTTGGTCTTCTTTGCTCCTTCCCTATACCTCCCATCCATAAATTTATCTTTGCAGGTCAACACTTGCACTCCTTTTTGCCTCACAGATTCTATGTTGGAATTTATAGATTTTGCTTGCTTAAGTTAGGTCCAGTACTAATGCTCTATCGTTGGTGTCATTTCAAAAAAATAGGGATATGTTCTGCGAGATCGGGTAGGAGCAGTGCAATTGAAGTTTCAAAGGAAAGATATTTTGATTAGTGGATCTATGAATCACTCTTGGAGAAAAGGTACAGCTTGGTGGGATTGATTTTTGTATGAGGGAACTTTCAGCCCATGTATAACTCTGAAGAAACCAATAAAAGGTAACAAACTCTTCCTTTCGTGAACTTACGGTGTTGTTTTATCTACCGGCCTAATACATTATGATCGGTTTGCATTAGAGAATGATAATGAAAGGGGGTTTCAAGAAAGGAAGAGACACGACGGCACATAAGTTCTCAATGGAGTTGGTGTCCGTACGGGGGAAGGACAGCAGGAAGGTGGCAGAGGAAGAAGGAAGAGGGGACACCGGAACTGGATACGAGGGAGGTAATTTCCGTTTGTGTTAATAGTTTTGTTTAAATTGTAGAAATTAGGTCATGTACTTTATGGGAGATTAGCTTATGTTGATCCGATTGGAGGATGATGTGAGAGGGATTCAAGGAGCATAAATCAGCGGTTGCGATGGAGGAGAGTTTTTTCCATGTTCCTTTTTTTTGTAGTTATGATTCTCGGTCCGTTTTCTGCCTGCTTTCGGAACTTATTTTTGGTCTTCGGTGTTTCCACATACTCCTATATTCAAAGCTGCCTATGCAACTGCATACTAAAATAGTCCTACATCTTAGCCTGCATTGCATATGTTGACTTGCTATTTCAGATGCATTCAACTCACTGTCTGTAGGATATTTGGCTGGTTTTGTTTTGAATTTCGTTAGCGAGTTCCTTAATGTTTTCGTGTTTCGTCTACCGTTTTTTGTGTTTCCTGGATGTAGAATAAGGAATCTAGCAAGAAAAGGAAAGATTTGTTCAGCTTATTAAGATAGGAAAGGTGCAATTCGTTTGGATTTGTGAGTAAATTTGCTGGTATTCTGAATGAATTCGATGAGTATTTTGAATAAATGTGCATTTTAATGACTAATCTTCCTCAGTTATATCCGTTGTAGAAGTTAAGGTGGATCCACTGGTTCTTGAATTTCTC